CTCCTGCATGACCCCCACTGGGGATTTGGCCCACAATCCAGGCATGTGTCCTGACCAGAAATTGAACCGGTGACCTCTTGGTGCATAGGTCGACGCTCAACCCCTGAGCCACACCTGCCGGATTGATAAAAGTATTTTTGTTATTATCATCCTCCTCCCCATTTTGGAAATAAAAACACCAAAATTTGAGAAGTTAGGTAACTTGTTGCAAGTCTTACAGCTACTGAGTGATGGAGTCAAGAATTTAAATGATCTACAGTTCAAATTTCATAACCTGATGTGGAATGTGTTGGATTGATCATCTGTCTCTTCTCCTGGGCAGCTCTGTGGCTATGCCAATCATCCTTTGCCCACCCAGGAGCCTAGTGGTAAAACAGGATTTTACCACTAGGGGTCATGCTCCTTGTAGCTTTAACAGGCTAAAATGGATTAAACTAAGTTGTCAAAATGTTGCCGGCTGCAAGTGCTTTTCAGATCATTGGGCTTTATAAAATAAATTAAGTGTGAAAGGTGAATTTAGACACTTTTATTTATTTCATAAAACTATAAAACTCGAGATATGGGTTATTCAGATGCTCTGGATCCTGGTATCTTTGTGAGTTATAGAAACCGCTGCAAAATTTTCTCCTAAAATATTCAGTCTAATCTTGTATTTTTATAGGCTTAATGCCAAAAGTTTTAGTACACATAGTAAATTAATAAAACCCATTTCTGACATCATTTTTCTAACATGTTTCGATAGCTGAAGTTTTTATTTTAGTTTTATTGGCTTGCTTTCTTCATAGTCTCATTTCCATTATTCCTTGGAGATTTGCCTATTGTAAATTAAACTTGAACTCTGGGTAACTGATAATTGTTGAGGTGACAGTTTCCAGTAACTGTGTTCTGCTGGGAAACAAGAAATTCCTATGGCTTTCTAAAATAGGTTGACCCTATGGCTTTGGAAAAATCTTAATTGACGACAAATATTTTAGTCTTCAACAAACAAAACAAAATAAAAAAAGAGATTAGCAGAAATCCAGAAGTGTAGGATAAAGTTAGAAATCATTTGTGTATTATAAGAAACAAATTAATAATATATTTAAAAATAACAAAATGTGTTAATAAAAGCTTTCTCTGATCAAATAGGGCAGACTTGATGTATCTGCTTTATATTATTGGAATTATAATTTCTCTGTTCAGAGAAAAATTTGTTTTTGAAATAACTAAAGGCCCAATTATGAAAGTTTGAGGCTAATAAGGACTGATTTTTTAAATTGTTTTAAGTTTAATTTTACTAAATATGCTCTTAAATTACTGTTGCTTCTATGAATATTCTTATACAACCAAGCATAAGTCAAGAATTATGAGAACATTTTTTATCTCTAGGAATAATGCAGTACATAAATGGTATGCGAATTAAGTATATTTTATTCTTTTTTTTTTTTTTTGCCTGCAAAAATTTGTTTAGCACCATTAAACAAATCTAAAAAAACATAAAAAAGATGAAGAATTTAGCATGATATAATGAAACTGCCCAAATTACAAAATGCAAGACAGCTCTGAACCCAGTTGTGGCTCTGCTCTATTGTAATGAATTGATTTACATGTCAGATGACATGACCTATGTTTTGTTCCCTCTGGTAAGAAGTTGAGACCACTCATTTGGCTATGGGCTTTTAAAAAATTGAACAAATACTTGTTTGCATTTGTTTATAAGGTATTACAATAGGTACAATAGATAAAACAGTACAGTCTTGGAACAGTTTTATCTAATGCAATGTTTATTCAACACTACCTTCCCATATTATTTCTGTTAAAGACCTTGGCCTCTAGCATTATCAGAATATTTTTCAAAGCCATCTATGACTATATGTTTCATATATGAACCTCACAGAACTGAACATTTGGAAACATGAGCCTATCGAAAATTGCACAGATTAGTTGAGGAATACTTAGCAAATTTTCTAGGATTATTTCACTTAGTACAGAAAGTTTCCAGTATGCATTTGTTACATGAATCTAGTTTTGTGATTATAAAATATACTATGAGGCATAAGTAAATGAATTTTCTTCTTTACAAAGTTGACTTTGTATTGATGTAGAGCTGGTTAAATTAATTTGTTTAAATGAGACTTTAGATGAAATATATGGCTGGTATGAGTATATATTAAGTATCTTGAGTTATTTTGTATACCATTTTATTTGTTTTTATGTAAGACCATCCAAATACACTAATAAAAGAGCTCTAAAAATACATATCACTAGAAATGTAGTTTACCTTGATTTTTAAATTGTGCATGTTCGAAAGAATCACTTTATTTTTCCTTTATCCAAAATTATAGCTAAACAAGAACTGTGAGTTTAAAGAAATGCAAAGCATGATCTGTGGATTTGGGCATCTAGAATATAGAGTTAGTTCATTATTCCACAGGGTGGCAGTAATATTATATGGAATAGGAGAAATGCCATTATAGGTCTAAGTGGAAAGTTAGTGTGCAAAAACCTATTTTTTAAAATTTCACTAATTCATCATGCAGTATAAAGTGTGTATTGCACATTTTTATGAAATCAATAAAGCAAAGCAGCTAAGGTTGAAATATTTTTATATTGTTTTTCATCAGTGTATAAGGAACTTAAATTTTTAGTAATTCCTAGTAAACTTTTTCTGAACCAAATATATATTAAAATTATTTCAGAAAATTCTAAGATAATCTGAAAACATTAAATATATACATGCATCAGTTTGGTGTGTGTGTGTACCCATCAAGAGAAAATAAGAATCTTAGATATATTAGAAAGATTTTGTAAATATTGTAATAGTAAGTCAGTTGCAGAAATTGTAAAAAGACAGTTACATTTCTAATTCTTGAGATTTCATTGACCATCAGGAGTTTGGAAATTTTCAGGAAAAAAAGTATCTTTAAAATGTTGACAGTAAATAAATTGTAATTGAAAAAATAAAAAAATATATAATGTTCCAATAAAGATAAAAAATAAAATAGATGTTGAAAGTAAGGCAAATCTTATACATTTGTATATAGAAATGATTCAGTCAGTCAATGTTATGTTCAAATAGCCAGGGACCTATGTGAAAAACGAACACAGAGTGGGGGAAATGAGGGTACTTTAAAATGCCATGAAAATGATCATTGTGACACGATTCATACTTTCACATCTAGCCCTGATCCTGAATTCCTTAGTCTGGACTTCTGAGGGCTCCATGGGGGTTAGGTAAAACTTTTGTAGTGAAGCTAAGCGACAAGCTTTTTTTTTACTAGTATTTTTCTGGCTGATTTGTATTTATTTGGACTATTTGATGAATAACATCAGTCAAAATAATGACATGGTGCGTCTAAGTGTAGCCTCTATGTTATTTGAAATGCTGGCCTAGAAGAGACGTATTAGTTGTATTCATTTATTTCTTTTTACTGAAAAGTGTTTCATGGAAAATATTTTACTAAAACACTGTTGTGGGAATAGGAAAAACTGGAGAAAGCAATGCTTTGCATTGAAAATTGGAGACCTGCTCTCAGACATTAATTACGAAGGCGATCCCCAAGTGCTTTCTGGCGCATCTGGATTTTCTCCCTGCCCTGAATTCGTGTGACAATTGTTTGGGGTATGGCAGTTAAACTGAATTATCAGCAGAGTAGCCAACCTGTTTATAAACGTATTTCCATTTAGGAGTGAGTTCAACTGCATAAAGCAGTAACACTCCATTTAAATATATAGACAGCCTAACAATGATCCAGTTGTGAAGAATTTAAGAAAATGAAACTGTTGCATTTTGAGAGAGAAAGAGAGAGAAGTGCCACTAGTCACTAACTTCTGTTAACCTAGAACCAGTCATTTGTTCTTGCAACTTGAGGTGATTAAAACTCAGCTGTGTCCACCAAATGGCTCCTTACATGACTAGCTAAGGCAAACGTAGACGACACAAGGGTGGATCACATAAAACTTTACAAGTGGAACAGCTACATCCCCAATGTACATTTGGGGGCAGGGATTGCTGTAATGTGATTTCTGTGTGGCCAAGACAAGTGAAAGAACAGAGAACAGATGTGAAACCTCTTTGGAAATTTGTGCTCTGCAGTCACGTGGAAAAGATGAATCAGAAGAAACAATGAGAACATGTCGATTCAGTCAGTCGACATGAATTAGGGAAAAGCTCTTAACATAGTTCAAACCAAAATATGAAATCATGGAAAAGTGATTTTCTGCATGTTTATCTTTAGAAAATGCTAAAATGTGGAACTAAGAATATTGGTTTAGGTTACTAAATTGGTAAAAATCAATATGGGAAAATAGCCATTTTTTAAAATACTTGTTAAAATCATTAAGTCTGTCCTCTATACTTTTATAGTATTATTTAAATGCAGTGGCTTCCAGTAAAAACCATCTCAATTAAATTTTTAAATATTTGCATATTTGATAGCATTTTAGAAACTATTTTGATTCTCTTCAAAAATCTTAGGAGCTTAAAATATTTAAGTATACCAGTCATCTTTTATAGACAATAAGTAATATAACTAACATAATTATACCTGTACATTCCAGTGTGAATGTAGTAAAACCATCACTTAACTGCCTTGAGCAACTAAAAGTATAATGGCCTCTTCTATGAATACATTTTTATAACCACATACCTATGGAATAGGGACATTTTTTTCTTGTGTGGTGACTAGATATATGTATATGTTTTAACCAGGCAAAACAGGTGCACTTAGACTAGACCTGAAAGGTGCTATTTCTGCTAATGAAACCTTCGTCATGATCTTGCCATAGGATCCGGATATGGTACAGGGCACACAAATACTATTTTAAATGTAGTAAGTGAAGTCTGTGGTGATTTTTTTCCCCCTCTGTTGCTTTCCAGAATGATTTACTACTCTCGAATTTTCTTGTCACATTAATCAACTGAAAAACATGATTTGATTTGATTTTTCTACTTTAGCTATGTTGTGCAGTTCTAGTAAATAGTATGCAGTCTAACAAATACCTATTTTTCTATTGACCAGGTACGTGTATTCACATTTTCAGTTGGTCAACATAATTATGACAGAGGACCTATTCAATGGATGGCCTGTGAAAATAAAGGTAAGATCTATTTTCTTGACCATATTTTATTAGGAAAAAATAACAATTTGGTAGCTGTAGTTCTACATATTATTATGTATTTATTAAAAATGTTTTTGTTGCCCTGGCCAGTTTGTCTCAGCAGTTAGAGCGTCAGACTGCAGACCAAAGAAACCTGGGTTCGGTTCCCGCTAAGGGCATGTACCTTGGTTGCAATTGGTCCCTGGCCCCAGTTGGGGTTGTGTGGGTGGCAACCAGTCTATGTGTCTCTCTCGCATTGAGGTTTCTCTCTCTCTCTCCCCTCCTCTCTCCCTCCTGCTCTATCTGAAGATAAATGCAAAAATATCCTTGGGTGAGGAAAATAAGTAAATAAATAAGTTTTTGTTAATCTTCACCCAAGGATAGTTTTCCATTGATTTTTTTAGATGGAGTGTAAGGGAGGGAGGGAGAGGAGAGGGAAAGCAAGGGAGATAGAGAGAGAGAGAAACATTGATATGAGTGAGACACATCGATTGGTTGCCTCCCACATGGCACTGATCAGGGCCGGGGATCTAACCCGCAATCCAGGTACATGTTCTTGACAGGGAATCAAACCAGAGGCCCCTTTGGTCTGTGGGCCAATGCTCTAACCACTGAGCAACCGGCCAGGGCTACATATTATTATTTTTATTTAAAAGACTCTAAAGTTGTAGCTAATTTTATAGGAATTCCGGCAAGAATGAGATGCTGAGCATCTTTTCCATAGAGAAAACACACAGCACAACAAACTTTTTGTTACATTATGTAAAAATTCAGACACTGCTCCTATTGTACATTTATAAAAGTATATATTTTATTGAATGATACTTAACGATGCTTATCAAATATAGCCTAACATGAAAAACTAAGATTGAAAGAATATCTGAATTACATAAAACTTAGCCATAAGAAAGTAAGACATATATACCTTTTTTGTCTCTGATTAAATTATTGTTGCTTTTTTTAAATGTATTTTTAGATAAATATTTGGTGTAGTAAGCCCATATTTTCTCTGTACTCAAAAAATACAAGATGTTATTTGAAAAACTAACAGTGATAATAAAAAGAACCTAAATTTATTTTGAAAGTTATATTTAGGCAAATATTTTATTTAATATAATTACCAAATACCCATGATCATTCAATAGTTAATATTTCTCCAATGAATAAAAATGTTAATGATAATCAGGTTCTCTACTGCTTCATAGAAAAATGTTATTTTATGCAATGTAAGGTAATGTAGCAACATTTATAATAAACTGCACACTTATTATGAATATACATTAATCAGATATTTTTTAAATTTATCAGTGGTATTACTACTTTACTGTTTGTACAATAAGGTGAAAATTGCCTTTTTTCTTACAAAGGCATAAGTAATTATGTGAACTATTATATTTTCATAAATATGTATATATATGTTTCAGGTTATTATTATGAAATTCCTTCCATTGGAGCAATAAGAATCAATACTCAGGTATGGTTTTCCAAAATTTGATAAAATTATTTTTTCAAAGTAAAAGACATTTTTTTTCTGCATTATATATGCTCAATATGCAGACAGTAAATGAAAATGAGAATGTTTTTATGCTTATACATAATATTACAGTTGTAACAAGAGGATATATTTTTACTGATTTTAGAGAGGGAGAAAGGAAGAGGGAGGAAGAGAGAGAAACATTGATCAGTTGCCTCCCGACCCAGGATCGAACCCACAACCTGGGTATGTGCCCTGACCAGAATTGAACCTGCGTCCTTCGGTGCATAGCACGGTGATTCAACCAACTGAGCCAAACCAGCCAGGGAAGCAATGTATTGGTTTTTATTTTATTAAGGTTTCAAGTGTTCCAAAATTCAGGTATAAAATATATAAATATACTGTTCTTCTCAGATGTGAAAAACATCATACAAAATAAATAAAATCAAATGTACTAATAATCTCTTCTCATGTAATTTGAACTTGATTATCTTGCAAGTAATCTGAATGAGTTTCTTCTAGTTGTTGGTACCACATAGAAAATTAAACAATAATTATTCTAACAAATTATGTAAGATCATACTAAGAACTTAGGTATGTCCCCAAATAACCCCTGTAGATGTCATTACCTGTTTAAAATAAACTTACAGCTATCCAGTTGAAAATATGCCTGTTATCTAACTTTGTACATTGAAACAATTTAAATATCTATTATTTTTAAGTATTCATAAAATACTATTTAAAATCATTACTCGCCCTGGCCGGTTTGGCTCAGCGGTTAGAGCGTCGGCCTGTGGTCCTGAGAGACCCGGGTTTGGTTCCCGCTGAGGGCATGTACCTCGGTTGCAGTTTGTCCCCGGCCCTGGTTGGTCGTGCGGGTGGCAGCCACTTGATGTGTCCCTTTCACATCGATGTTTCTCTCTCTCTCTCTGTTCCTCTCTTTCCCCCCCACTCGACCTGAACAAAAAAAATAAAATAAAATAAAATCATTACTCAATTTTGACCATAACTGAGGATCTGTAAAATACACTAAGTCAAAATTTAGCATAAATAACATGAAATTTGTGGAAATAAATACTGAATACTTGAATGTTGAAATGAACCAGCAGCAGCATTTGAGTCTGATGTCTAGATTTCACTTGGTACAGTATTTTATTTATTTTTTGATATGATTAAATGTACTTTTGAATTTCAGCCAAACAACCTATGATGTGAAAGCAAATACATGGCTGCTTTATTATTTCGAATTTGTGCATTTCCATCCAGGAAATCACAGAGCCTAAAATAGTTTAGATTAACATAAAACAATTCACAAGGAACGTATTTCACTTATCATTTGCTCTACCAGTGAAAGAATGTTTTGATTGTTACTAGGAAAAACCGGGATAGATATATTTTATAAAAAATGTAAGTCAAATAATGTTGATTCAGAGTATGTAGACATACCATTTAAGGAGTGCCCAAGTAGGAATTAAATGATTACAAACTTTCTGTCTTAATAATTTGATTCCATATTTATTTTTAACTCTAGATAATATTTCTTCTGTGGTGGTAATTTTTTTTAACAAGAGCATTACTAGTTTTCAACCATTTAACTTTTTTTTTTTTTTTTTAATAAATAGGAATATTTGGATGTTCTGGGAAGACCAATGGTTTTAGCAGGAGACAAAGCTAAGCAAGTCCAGTGGACAAATGTGTACCTGGATGCACTGGTAAGAAATTGGCTTTTCAACTAAAAACTGTTACAAGAAAAGCAGTCAGCTGACTTCTTTGTAGGTGACAATTCTCTTTTCCTCTTCGTTAAACCATTCTAAAAACCCTTCTATCACAACTTTTTTTACTAGAATACAACAAACTTTTTACATAATTTACATAAGCTATACTGTGTGCAGTAGAGAATTGAGAATATAAAATTTCCACCCTTGAATTTATGGGCATTTCAGTAACTATTTTAATATCTGTGTTAAAAAAAATGCTGAAAGTCTTATGAATTAGTACCTATTACTACAGGTTTTGAATAAGACTTTCGAAGTATTTAAAAAAAAATTTTTTTATCCTCACCCGAGGACACTTTTGTATTTATCTTCGGAGAGAGTGGGAAGAGAGAGAGAGAGAGAAACATTGATGTGAGAGAGACACATCGACTGGTTGCCACCCACATGAACCTAACCGGGGTCGGGGACAACTGCAACCGAAGTACATGCCCTTAGTGGGAACTGAATCCAGGACTCTCTGGTCCACGGGCCAGTGCTATAATCGCTGAGACAAACCGGCCAGGGCTGAAGTATTTTCAAAGTAGACTTTCCCTAGCAGAAGCAAGCCAGATCCAACAAAACTCAGAGGTACATGCAGTTAGGCAAAAATCATACCTTATCCTGCATTCATCACAAACCTGATCACCTCTTCATGTATAATCTCTTGCTTTAGGCCAATCCCAGATATTTATGAAAGTAGGCCATGGAGGTGATCAAATCTGGTGTGAAATAACAGAAACATGTTACATCGTTCATTTCACAATTAAAATTATAGTACAGGTATTCAATTATACTTTCAGATTGTGGTTCTCCACTGTGGGTGACTTTGCCCTTCACAGGTCATTGGGAAATACCTATAGGTATTTCCAGCATGATGCCTGTGCTTTACAGGGGTTGCTACTAGCAGGTAATGGATAGAGGCCAGGCATGCTGCTAAATGTCCCAGATGCACACGAGAGCTCCCCACCCCCCACCAGGCACACACAACAAGGAATCATCCAGCTCAAAATGTGAGTAGGTCTGAATTTGAGAAATCTTGTTTTAATGTCATTTTTTCTTTCCTGATATGGAAGTTATAGAGAGTAATTATCATAGTTAAGATATATTCACATGCTTAATCTTAATAAGACTTTATTAATGATTTTACTAATGTAATATATTAGAGAGAATCAAAATTCTAAGCTCTGAAAAGTGCATGCTGATTCAATAACCTTTTTCTTACTTGAAATTTAATTTATGCTGATTCTACTTTTCTGAATGCAATGATGAACCCAAAGGGCAAAATGCAACCCACTTAAAATTACTTATCATTTGGTTCTAGTAAAATAAACATATACAGGAAGTTAGAAGAAAAATAGGCACTATTAGCAGCAGCCTTGCATGCTAAGACAGATAAAGTGAAGCTTGCTTACCTCAGGCGCTAGTTAAAATTTCTGTCATGTTCCCTCTTGACATCACATATTTATTTAAGGTCACCTGGTCATCTAAAGCTGTGGTCAAATCTTTCACTTTCCCAAATCCATCACAGTACAAAGTATGATAGGAGGAGTCAATAATTATGCCCTGTTGTATTTCCTGTGACCAGAAGTTAATTAACCAACATGTGTGCATTGTTGGTAAGGTTCTCACTGATAGCACAAATGACATTAGGAATAAATTTTGGTTCTAAATATGCTGTTCTATAAGCGGAAACTAAGTGTTAAGACCACAAAGAGTATTCTTTTTTATTTTTTTTAATCCTCACTCGAGGATATTTTTACCATTGATTTTTAGAGAGAGTGGAAGGGAGGGAAGGGGAAAAAGAGAGGCGGAGAGAGAGAAACATTGATGTGAGAGAGACACACATTGATCGTTTGCCACCAACACATGGCCCCACGGGGACCAGGGATCGAACCTGCAACCCAGATACATGGCCTTGATGGGGAATCAAACTTGTGACCTTTTGGTGAGTGGGCCGATGCTTTAACCACTGAACCACACTGGCCAGGACCACATAGAATATTCTTTTTACTGACTTTAAAATGAAAAGTGACCCATCTTGTATTTCTAATTATTTACTTATCATCTCTGCACATAGCAGATTCAAAATACATGCTGGTGAAAATAACAGTTGTACTTAGAAGAAAAAGGTAAAAATGTTCCAAGACAAAAGTATAACAAATATAATGAGCAAATAAAAAGAGCTCTGGAAATTCAGAAGAAAGAAGCCATATATTTGGGGATGAAGCAGGATGAGGTTGGAAAGATGGTGCCATGTTAGCTGATTTAGGACTTCAGGTTAGGTTTCTATAATTGGCGATGAGCAACAAACCACACAGGGGCGCAGTATGAACGTTGCAGAAGTGCTGGGTGTATTGAAGGAATGACACCGCAGTCACTGGACATAATGGGAGGTAAGGACAGAAACAAGACTGGGACAATATTGTGGAGGATTCATTTTATTTGAGAGCTAAAACAAGGTTCTTTGTATAAAAAGAGTGAGGGAGAAAAAGAACTGGGCTCTAGGTAATAAATACGAAATACATTCCAGGAGAGCAGAAATATTGTTTTATTTCTCCTATTAATTCTCTAGGGACTTGTACAGTGCCAAAGGATAGAGTGCAATTTTTTATCTGCTTTATAAATGAGGGAGAAAATGAAAGTTGGATACCAATGAGTTTATCCATGAATTTATTTAATATATCAGTCTAGTATCTCATTTTAGAACACAATTTATACGCTAATTAGGGTACTCTATACAAATGCAAAAATGATCCAAAGGAAATGATATACCCATATATACTATATTTTTTATAGATGTGTGTGTGTGTATGTATGTGTATATATATATATATATATATATATATATATATATATATATATATATGGTAGTATGCATTAGACTATGCATATAATTATAACTCAAATAGAAAGTTCACCAAAAGAAATCTTCAATTAATTATCTTTTGGGTACTAGTTTTATGAATTATCTGTAATCTTGACTTGATTGAAGTGAAACATTTCCATTGTGCATATTAATTAAGGATGTTGTTATTGTCAAATGTTTTTGCTTAGGACTAAATAGAAAGCTCTTGTGTACATCATCATGCACCCAACTATGTGTAGTTGTGTCGTTAATTTTATTTGTCCCAAAAAATGTGGCATCTTATTCAGCTGAAAGCCTCTCTATGATTGTCCTTCTTCACTTGATTCGTTTTCATTGCTTTTGTGCCTCCCACATGCACAATTTTAAACTATAGCCTGAGACATTTTCTCCATGAGACCTTGCTGTTTCTGGAATGAGAACAGGGGTCAGGGGATTTGAATTGAGGGTGATTATTCTCAAGAAGATTCACTAATATTTTTCACTAACATCATTCACTATTTTCTCAGCTTAGCAAATTCAAAATTTTCAACAATTTAAAAATTATTTAAAAGGTGACTTAAAATAGTGTTTGACATGAAATAGTGGTAAGAAAATATATGTCTATATCTATATCTATGTCCAGATAGATAGATAGATAGATAGATAGATAGATAGATAGATAGAGATTTAGTTGCTGCAGATGGCAGTAATAAAGAAAAGGCAACCTCTGACTTGAAAATCAGTTTATTTGGACTAATCCACGGACTCATTTAATATATGACATTATCTACATACTGATTTATTATTGTTATAATAAACTGCTACATGACTTCTCTTCCATATTTTATGCTTTGAACTTTCTAGTCTACATCATTTTACTTTGTAAAAATGACTCTATTTTGGAGGGTATTTAGAAGCAATATTGCTTCTTTTGAATACCAAGAATATCCTAGAAATGCAATATCAGTAACATGTTTCCTCAATTTATAATGTTCTGCTACACATTTTTGATTTAATGTGAAGTATTGGGCTTGCACACAAAAAAAATTAAGAATAAATCTACAACAAAGGAAGGTAAATAAATCATTTGAAGTATGTAATATTTTAGTATCACTCTGTTCATGGAGGCCTCTGATCTTAGGTGAACTATCCATAAAGAAAAGAGTGGAGGGGCAGGGCTACTGAAATGTTTAGTGTCAGTTGATTTTTAAAATAAATAATTTGCAGTGCTCGCATAAAGTAATACTTTAGATGTTTTATGCTTCAATAGTGGCCTAAAAGATCTTGATTATTTCTAAGACATTTTCATTGATCTTTTGGAAAAATAATCTTTCAAAATCTTTTAGTTTTTTGTGGCTCTTTATGTAGTATAAAATACAGTGTCAGATATCAAAGACCAATGCAGTATAACAGAGTTTAACTTGTCATTTTAATTTGCCTTTTCTCTCTGAATCTATTTTTAGGAACTGGGACTTGTCATTACTGGAACTCTTCCGGTCTTCAATATAACTGGCCAAGTTGAAAATAAGACAAACTTAAAGGTTAAAAGTTAATTGATAAATTTAATAATAATAACTGATAAACTATGACGTTGAAGCTTACTGTGGATAAGATATTTCTATAAGGAAGTACATACAGTGTAACTGACTGGGAGGCCGGAAGTGAAAGGCAACAGCTGCTTATGTGATAACCACCTGGGAAAAGGAAATGCAGGTCAAGTTCTCTGTTTCCCCAGAGACAAGATTCAGCTTAACTCGCTGTAATTATGACCTGATGAGAACACAAGTTCAGACTCTGGGAATAATTACATGATAAATGGGCAGTACTATTGTGTGTACATTTTAAAAATGCATCTAAGATATTCATGGAGTTCAGAAAGAAAATCCAAACAAAATCATGGTGATGTCTGTGTGAGGTGTACATAGGTATATTTAATGAGTTGTTCCTCCTCTGACTCCCATTCAAATAATTGTTTCTTTAATTGTCATGTACCTGAAGGGTCTGATTTAAGTAAAATGTTTATTCTGTCTTTGAGGTTCAGGAAAAATACTTGAGTTTTGTAAAACTCTTTTATTTCTATAGCATTGGCATATTGTCAATGCAATAAAATGCTATCCACTTATAGTTCTAAAAAAATGTATCTTGTACTTGTTAATTTCCACTTCTTATTTTTTTAAATACTTTTGATTTAAAAGAAGGATTGTATTCTTCTTTCTTAGCTTGAATCAAAAGGAATTTAAGAATGCCAGAGAATATTAAATATTCATTTTGCAGTTTGGTTGACATTCTTGATTTGAGGGACATTTATTTCCAGTTTATTGTATAATGAAGCCTATAACACTTTTTATTTGTTTGTTTATTTATTTATTTTTCTTTATTGATTTTAGAGAGAGAGGAAGGGAGAGGGAGAGAGAGAAACATCGATGAGAGAGAACATCAATTGGCCGCCTCCTGCATGCCCCCCTCTGGGGATTGGGCCCCCAACCTGGGCATGTGCCCTGACCGGAAATCAAACCCATGACCTCTTGGTGCATGGGTCGAAGCTCAACCACTGAGCCACACCGGCCAGGATAGTTATTATTTATTTAGTTAGTTATTATAAATTTCAGTTGAGCTCTTCATTTTAATAATGTAGCCATGGAAAACATTGGTTGTTCCTCTTTAGAGGTCCATTACCATTCTTAAATATCTGTGGATCATACTGTCATAACTCACAAACTAGTTATTCTTATCTCCTCATATGGACTGTATAAGGATTGCTTTAATTTGAGAATGGTTCACAGAAAAAAGCATATTTGTTGACATAACTTTCTCATTCTCTGTGCACCCACACAAAGTTTAAAGTTCTTATAATAACTATAGACTGAATTTTATACTTTTCTTTGCAACATTTCAATTTATTTTGTAATTTATATAATTCTATATAAAACAAAAATTCCTGATTTTAAATTTTAACACTGTTTCCATTTTTATGTCCCATAGAATATTATGATAACAGTTTTACAAACAGCCTCCTTGACTTGCAACTAAAACTGTGATGCCCATTCTTTGGTATTTATAGGGAATTACCAGTAAGCTGAAACAGTGTTTTGAGGATTTCTGCTTCTTTATTACCAATAAAGTCACATACTTTTCAAGATAGTTACAAATATATAGATACTATCAACAGTAAAAATCTGTAGTTTTCTCATTCCATATCACTCAATATCTGTGAGCTAGACATTTTTGTGATTTCTTCATGATAGAACACAACAAGTCAGCCTACGCTCACATATATAGACACACTCACAGAGCGACAGCTGCTGACTGTACAGTAGCAATAACGTTAAATGTCAGGGGTAATAAGTACAAGAGGTAGCAAATACATTTTTATATATTTAAAAGTTTTTAACTTTAGTCATCAGTATTTTATTTTTTAAGTTAAATAATAAGTGATGAAGTTGTGATAAACAACTAGAGCTGAAAATCACTGCAAATTGATACCGAAAATGCCATATATATATATGGCCATATATATAATTGGAGCTAGTATGTCATACAACTATGTCAAGCAAAGGGATGAATAACATAATAATTGTGTAGAAATATGTAAATTTTTGGTATAAAACACACTACCTTTTGCTGCCTTATAGAACCAGCTGATTCTTGGTGTGATGGGAGTTGATGTGTCTTTGGAAGATATTAAAAGGCTAACACCACGTTTTACAGTAAGATGCAATTTACCCTTTTGGTATCTTTTCTATTTTAAAATGCTGTGCTAATTTCACTTGTCCATAAGCTCAAAAATTATTTGTAGTTGTATTAGTAAAGAATCTAAATGTTTGTTAAGAGGATTCTTAAAATAAAAAAATAAAGATATGTTATACTTCTTCATGCTGAAAGGAGTATCGTTCAGACTGACAAACTTCAGAGGCAGAGGGTGGGGGGAGGGATGAGATAAACCAAAGAACTGACATGCGTGTATGTGTAACCAGTGGACATAGACAGCAATGCTTTGGAGTGGGGAGTGGGGGGTGGAGGGTAGGGAGGATGGTGTCAATGGGAAAAAAGCAGAAACATCTATAACAAAAATAAATAAATTAATTAAAAAATAAATTGTGTATTTAAGACTTGTTAAAGAAAAAGAGAAAAAGAGAGAATGAGGATTTCTGATTATGACTTAGGGGGATCTCTATCTAATGTTTTTTATTTTGTTGTTTTTTGTTTCCAGCTGTGCCCCAATGGCTATTATTTTGCAATTGACCCTAATGGTTATGTTTTATTACATCCAAATCTTCAGCCAAAGGTATGTATATTATTTGTTTATAGTGATTAGTATCCTGTAAAATTACTGATTAATGTTCTTAATAGGTTTGTCATTTTAAAATTTACTATATAGCACTAAGTAGAAAGGAACATTATTATATCTGTAATGTTTAATAGATGACAATACCATAGTTTATAATATATCAAAGTGTAAAAGCACTTTTCATTTTCTCTTACCAATGTAGCTATCCAGTGTTTAGCTAACCAGTATTCTTATCTTAAAGACAGTAGTTATCACCACCTGTGCTTGAGTTCCACACTTCCCATTTGGGACTTGGTTTAAGGCTGTAACATGGGAAGAGATTGCCCCACCGTGGTGGGGACCTGATAAATATAAGTAATGTTCCTCAATGCATAGGCCCCATTTTTTTGTTGCCCCTTTTTTCTGGTAATTATCTCTCTCCTTCATCTCCAAGAGTATTTTTTCCCCTGCTTTTGAACAGACTTGTAAAAATATGTATGCCATTTAATAACTAAAACTCCATTGGATGAACTTCAGAAATGGGAAGTATTTATTGTTCAGTGAGGTATTGGGAAGTGATGAAATTCCTTAGATAAACCATTTCATCCTAGTCTTTATGTCGGTTTTTCTGAAATATAAAGTATATTCTTAAATATCTGGTCCACTTATTTTACTTTTCATTAATACTCACAGGTAGGGTAAAATCTTATAATTGTACTTTATAGGTATCTTCAAGTTGTTAACTTTGATGATAATACTGAACATACTTTAAACTATGCTGGAGAGAAATATATATAGACGTATGCGTACTACCTTCTTCTCCAGTCATGACTATTTAATATTAGTGATATTTTAGGACATACACAAATAGGTGTGCACACACGCATACACATACACACATAAAGTTGAGTCATTTAAATATTATTCAAGTCAATAATAATAATTCAATAATATTGAATGCAAAAACAAAGTAAATGGTTATAATTAATATCTATTCTAATTTTCTCACTTTGGAACTTATTTCCATACATTTCTTCATGATCTAAATATTTGCAACCTAATGTAGCTAGTAATCACCCTGCATTATTTTTAAAGTTGTTATCTTATTGTACATGTGGTGGTATAGGCATTTCTCACATGATTATTAGTCTATCAGAGTTCTTTATAAACATGTCATGTTAAATTCCTCTTAATAGATTTGTTTAAGATTGGCTAAACATTCTATGATCTTGCATAGCTGAACATTTTTATCTTTTTAAAACTTTTTAAGATTTAAAAAAATTGTGACATTATTTTTGGTTTGTATATTCAGTATATTTTATATGATGTTACCATAATTAAAGTGATGTAAAAGCAATAACAATATAATGTGCTGAAGGGTATGAAGGATCCCTATTTTTATGATTGTAGGTCTTAATCCCTTCCCCGAGAGGAACTAAAATATATCATAAACAAACTAATAAAAAGAATAATGAGAATAAGGCACATATTAAATATATATAAAAATCCATCAATTAGACCTAATAATTCGAAAAAGATTTTCCCCTTTTCTATATCTTCTACTAACACCAATGTTTATATAGAAAACAATTTATTACTATTTGACTGATAACATATATTTGGCTCATATTTGGATTAATTTACTAAAATTAATAAACATAAAAATATGAATTCCATAGAAATCCTTATTATAGCCCTGGTATGCTAGATAATTCTTTTTTGGGATTATATTAGCATTTCATTTTAATTTTTTTTTTTAGAATAGTTTATTGATTTTTTTTTTAGAGAGGAAGGGAGAGGGAGAAAAAGAAATGTCAATGTGAGAGCAAAACATCCATCCACTGCCTCTTGCATGCTGCCTACCTGGGCTCGAGCCTGCAACCTGGGCATGTGCCCCAGCTGAGAGTGAAACTGGCAACCACTCGGTGCACAGGAGGACACTCAACCAACTGAGCCACACTGGCCAGGGACAGTTTTTCATATTTTTATATAGGAAATTATTAAAAGCAAGTATGTAACAGAATGACATTTAGGAAAATGTTATTTTAGAAACCATTAAAAATAAATATTGTTGAACAATCAATGTATTTTTTTTCTTAAATTCATGCTTGTGAGTTCTCATCATTAACAAGTTATACTTTATGATTTATATTTTGTGGATGATGATAGAGATAGATATAAGAAACTCATAAGAAGATAATATAGCATATAATACAAGTTTTTTTTTTTAATTGACAAATACAAAGGACCATTGCAGTAACAGCAGGTATACTAACAAAATTCTATTTTTTTTTTTTTCATCAGCAATTCACCAGTAGGGAAAAAAAAGGAAAATAATGTTATATTCCCATAGTACCCATAATCCTTTAACAAGGTCAAAGTCTAATTTTTTCCATTTTGTTTCATTAAAATAATCAGATTAGGTGTACATATTAGATAACTCATTTTGATCAGTCTTAAGAAATGTTTATTGTAAAGGAAATTGTGCATACTCTGTTTTAGAAGTCAATATTTAAAATAAATCTATAGTGTTATGACTGAATTCTCTATTAGTTCCAAAGATATAGCATTTGATATCACTTCAGAAAACAAAGGCACACATTTTAAGGGTTAAGATTAAGACTTTTTAATATCCTATAATATTTATAATTTTAACACATTTTAATTATGTAAATTCTATAAATTCCTTTTTTTCAATCAGCATAAAAGTTGTCTGAGACAAATCATCCTTCTCACTTCCCACTTCCTCACTGTTTTCCAAGAAGAAAAGGAGAATATCAATAGTCATTTAGGGAAAAACAAAACAAAACCACACATATTTTTATTTACTAATCATATTTTTAAACGTCTTTTTATTTATTGACTCTTCATGGATTTTTTTTTATCCTCACTTGAGGACATTTTTTTTGCATTTATCTTCAGATAGAGTGGGAGGGAGAGATGAGGGAAGAGAGAGAAACATCCATGTGAGAGAGACACATCGACTGGTCGCCACCCACACGACCCCAACTGGGGCCAGGGACAAACTGCAACCAAGGTATGTGCCCTTAATGCGAACCGAACCTGGGACTCTCTGGTCCGCAGGCCAATGCTCTAACCACTGAGCCCAAATGGCCAGGGCCTCTTCATGAACTCTTTGATACCTGTTTTTGATCCAGGAAAAATATCTGACCCAAAGTGATTATAGTATAGAACACTTACCTATGTTGAGATGTGGCATGATGAATTACCGTCTTTCTGTTGCTTTAGCCTATTGGTGTAGGTATACCAACAATTAATTTAAGAAAAAGGAGGCCCAATGTTCAGGTAACTGAATGAAATTAGCAATGCCTTCAAATTTGCTAAATTGGCGTTGAAATTAAGCTTCTCTTTCTAAAAGCATATAATTAATGCTGCCTTTCTTGACATCAAGCTTCCAGAGCATGAGATGGAGATGAGCATCATTTCTCAATATGTTGGAGCAAAAATGTTATTAATGATGGCAGAGGGTATGCATTGGCTAACTAAAAATTACTAGCAAATTATGTAATAATAATGTTAACAATCAGCATAATCATAATCAGATGGCTTCTAAAAATAAATTTATTAAATATTGTGAAATTAGTATCAAATCCATGTAATCCTAACAATTTGTTTGTAAAATTAACTTCTCAGTGGAAATAAAAATACTGTTCTGATATGATAATTTCTATAAGCCATAGAATTTAAGCCAATTTTTTTTATTTCTAAAAGTGTACTTTTAGATTAGAAGTTAGAGAAATTTCCCTTCAACTAATTAAAGATGTCTAAAATTACAAATAAACATTGGGAATTGTTATTGCTTGGCAAACTCATTGCAAATTTTTTTCTCTATTGGCAACAAAGTTTAAACTTTATTATATGCATATTCTTTAAGCACCCTAAAAATAATTTACGTAAAAGGATACTTCCTGCAGTTTAGTAAAAAAAAAAATTATTATTTTAAAGAAAGTTCAGTATGAATTAGGGTTTTATTATTTCTTAGAAAAGAAAGTTGGTGACATAAATACAGATGGCACCTGAATTATGATGGCTCTGCTTACGATTTTTTGGCTTTACAATGGTGCGAGAGCAATATGCATTCAGTAGAAATCGTATTTTGAATTTTGATCTATTTCTGGGCTAGCAATATGTGGTAGGATACTCTCTCATGATGCTGGGCAATGGAAAGAGTTCTGAGCATGTTTAAAGCAGGCTAGCCAAAGCTATGTGCTCCATAGGTTAGGTGTATTAAATACTTTTCAAGTTAACATGATTTTCAATTCATGCAAGGTTTATCAGGACATAAGTCAAGCAGCATTTGTAATAGAGAGGTAGTATGATATTAGGAAGAAATCACTGAGATATGAATTAGTAGAAATGAGTTTTAGTTTGGGTCCACCTACAGCTAGCACTATAAACTTGAGTCACTAAACCCCATAGTACTTCATTCGTTTCATCTGAAATACAGGAGGAATGAACTAATAATTGTTTTTACCTCACACAGTATATCTGCCTAGGAAATTAAATATGTGTATCAGTTTCAGGCTCCATTTCCTGAAAATCCGTATTTGATTGGGCAGTGATGGAATTCAGGCTTCTGATTAGTTTTTAAACCAATCCAGGTTGTTCTAAAGTACAGAGCCTCTGGATTAGTAGCTTCAGTTCCCTTCTACCTCTCAAATTCCATGACAATTTGAATTTCATGTCGTTGCATCAGGCTTTATTCTTTTATGATTCCTATGGAGGTTAAAATTACACTTATGTCTTTTCTTGATGTAATAAATTGTTTTATGTTACTCTTGCATGTTTTTGTGTATTATCTTAGCAGTCATGTACATCTTAGTGAACTTTTATTTTTGTAGTACTTTCATATATTGCATGTAAATATTATGATATAATTTAGAAATAATCAACCTTAAAAGTGGTTTGTTTTATTTTTGTTTTCCTTTAAGGAAACCCCAAATGGCAAACTAGCAACCACACAAGACTTCTGAATTTTGGGAATATTTTTTGAACTACGTATGTAGTATTTTTAATAATACTAACTACTAATTATTTCCACTTAAAATTTGTTAACAACATTGTTTTTTATTTTAGTTCCACAAATTTCACGGTTATTCTGTCAGTTGATATTCAAATTTTACAAATCAGAAATGTTAGATATTTAAAATATCAAACAAAAGTATTGGGAGTGGAGGAACTTGATTCCAGTTCTCAAGCCTCTTTTGGTGCTTTCTTATTAGAAGATATTGCTTTTGCATTTTTTAATAACTGTACCTATGATAGATCTTTTAAAAAATGGTCAGCCAGATTGCCATTTAAATAGTACAAGTTACTCACTGACATTTTTCTTTCATGATTTCATTTTCTTCTCTGTGTCTTTATATGTTGGATTGGGACATCATCTTCATATTGCCAATTCTTCCTGATAATGCCTCCTCCATGCATGCTGTTTGGGTCTGGTCATGCTATGTACTATCCATTGCATGTAAGATAATATTCTTATTTATGTTATTGATTGTTTTGAGTTTGTTTTGCAGTGAGTTTATTAAAATTTTAATGCTGGTATGTTGGAGTTTGTGTGAAGATCATTTATTTCATGGGACTTTGATCAATTCTGAGTAATATTTTCAACTATAGAGAATCCTTTTGTTAGAGGCTTTCTCAGTTTTTTTTTTTTTTTTTAAAGGATTAGAATTATTTTCAACATTGATTTTTATTTTCTTCTTATGAAATATGTGACATTTCAAACCAATGATATGCTTCTGAGGCAATAAGGTGCTGTCCAAACAATGGTCAGTATTGAACTATCTAATACTTATTTTTTCAATAAAATTGCCAGAGTTGAGATTATTTTTGTAAACTTGCCTTTCAAAAAATCCTCATTTATCAAAACCCATGGGAATCATAAATTTTCATCGTTTAAATGGAGTTACTCTTTAAAGGAAGGCATTTTTGGTATAATTATAAATTAATACATGCCATGTGTACTTATTTATCATCACTTGTGATAAATAAGATATGGTTAATTTCAGTACATTTTAATTATCGGTATTGTCTTGGGTAGTCAGTCCTCCTAAAACAGTCTTTAATATAGTGATGATCTCAATATATTTTTGAAGAGCCTGTGAGACTGAAATTATTAAAATTCCAGTGACCTTGCACTAATACAGCATTGTTTGTAGATATTACTTCTAATTAACTATCATAGTTTAGTAATATTTTATGAAACATTAAATATCAGGTTTCTAAAATTTTGCAACTATAACCTTGTAGACACCTATTACGATTTTATTATTCTTGTGAACTTTGACATTCTACTATGGCATGTTGCATTACTTGGCAAGTGTTATAAGAGAATCAGTATATCTTTGTTTATCAAATGGTTTAGTAAGTTTTCATTTTATAATTGACACATTTAAAAAATGTCATAGGTAAATTTGCCAGGCTTAACTTTTATTTTGATTCATTTATATAAATAAGTAAAGAGTCTTTCTTGTTCCACAGTGAATATTATTTATTGTTGGACAGCAGCAGGAAGTAGCCTTCAGAGATGTTAAAACAGGCAATAGAATTTGGTTAACTCAGGGTTATTATTCTGGTTAGGCTTCAATTACAGTAGCTAATTTTTATTAAAATTCTTATGACAGCCACACATTTTATCTTATAAAATGTACTTAATCTGACTTATTAAAATATATGTAAAACTTCTGAGATTTAAGTACCTGAAGCAAATTTGCATGTTTATGCATTTTAAAAAGGAAAAATATGTTTAAAAGAGATTGTTTTGCTTAACAAATTCAAACATAGTTTTAAAAATATTTCCCTTCACTTAATTTCTTATTTCTTAATAGATACAAATAGGAAGGGATATTATTGATGTATTTCCTTTGTTATATTGCTAAGTATGTTATCCATCTGGCTATATTTTGCTCCTTTCCATCATCCTAATTAAAGAATAAAATTGTGAGTGGATCTTCAGAAGCCATTTTCCTCCAGAACTTGTGATTCTAAATGTAGTATCTAACACAGCACTCAAAATACTGTCTTCAGCTGGTGATTAATTAAAAGTTGCTGTACTTAAAGCTCAAATTCGTATCCTTTTAAAATATAGATATGAGAGAATATACCTTTATATAATTATTTTTGTCAGCGGTTTATTATACCTTAGGTAAGTAACTTTTACAGATTAATTTTATATTTAAATATTAATTGAATTATTCAATACATAGCATCATTTTACAATGTCACATTTGCTCAGTTATTATTATTTTTTGTGTAGAACCCCAAATCTCAGGAGCCAGTAACTTTGGATTTCCTTGATGCAGAATTAGAGAATGATATTAAAGTGGAGGTGAGTGTAATCAGTAGGCCTCAGGTCAAATGCTGAATCACCCATTCCACAAGTATATGTTGACCAGCTGCATTGTGTTGGGTGCTCTCTCCGGTACTGTATACACAAATTTAGATGTTTTTGTCTTTAAAAAATTCTAGGTCCTGGGCTCACTTATCCAAAAGATCATATGAAAAGAAATAAATATTTTAAGTTGGGTGTGACCTTAGTTTGTTTCTTTCTCATTTCACAGGTAGAGATATATTAAGTGTTTCAATATAAATGAAACATGTAAATTTCAATAAAAAGCCATATATGTGGAGGATGTTGATCTGGAAAAGATGGAGGGGATCTATTTGACTACCCAGTGAGCAGCATGCACAGGGAAGCTGACACATTTGTCTTAGTACTTGTTTTTTTGTTGTTAATCCTCACCTGAGGATATTTTTTCCATTGATTTTTTAGAGAGAGTAGAAGAGGGGGGAGGGAGAGAGAGACATATGGACTGGTTGTGTCATGCACGTGCCCTGACTAGGGCCAGGATTGAACCTGCAACCCAGGTACGTGCCTATGACCAGGAATTGAACCCTCGACCCTTTGGTCCAAGGGTTGATGCTGTAACCACTGGGCTATACCAGCCAGGGCTATCTTAGTACTCTTTACTCAGAAATTTTCTATTTTGTTTCAAAATCAAAATTGCATGTCACTTTTTCTGAGAGAGTCTTCCATCAGGATAAGGATAATCATTAATCATAATAGTATTATATTAAATACATGATATATGTCAGTCATGGATTCTCAATAGCCTTTCAAATTATTATTATTATTATTATTACCATTATTGTACCTGTTGTACTAATGATATATGAGGCACAAAGTGTTTAAATTGTGGAGCATGTTTCCTGTTACTCAGCTAGTAAGCAGCAGAGCCAGGTTTTGAACCAGGCTGTTGCACTCCAGAGCAGAGGATTTTAAGATTCTTTCAGATGGATTAATTCCTTCTCTTATCTATGCCAAGGCCACCATGTTTCTTTCATAACTTGTCAAAGTGTGTTTTAATTTGTTCTTGCTTTACACATTTTACACACGTATTCCCTCATTGTGCAATAGAATTTATTTATTATAATTATCCTGGGCCAAGGCATGGTGTTGAGATGTTTTAGGTGATTAAAGAATATTTGTTGCAAAAGATTTGATGTGATAGAGTAGGAGCGTGTCATACATAGTAAGGAGCTTAGTCTTTGGACTATCATGTCTTGGAGTAATTGTAATGATTATTTAACTTTGCTGAAATCTCAGTTTCCCCTTACTCAATCCCATAAAGTAATTGGTGACTCTTTTATTGATTACATTTCAAAAATTAATGACTGGTTGAAAATATTTATATTAAGGGTGTTTTTATTTTTTTAATTGATATAAAATGACTATAATGTGGTAGCTTTTGAAAGAATATTCCCAGAGAATAGCACCAAATACTAGTAAAACTATTTTTATTCAATTTGTTCTGAAATAAGATATATTTTAATAATCATACTTTTGTATGTAAATTAGTTCCTGCAATAAAGTAATTGTTCCTTTTTCCTTAGATTCGCAATAAAATGATAGATGGAGAAAGTGGAGAAAAAACATTCAGAACGCTGGTTAAATCTCAAGATGAGGTAAGAATTGTCAGGCTTATTCTTAAATAAATATATATGTTAATAATTGATATTGGTAGTTAGTGTTTTTGTCTATCAAAGCAACATTTATTTATAAAACAGGGATGTCTCAATAAGCAAAAAAAATTAAGGTACTCTGTTGTAGGGATATTTTCAATAAAAATTTTAACTCCTTAGTTTTTATAAAATAATGTTGCTTTGGGTTTCTTGATGTATTCTTATATTAATGATATGTTCTTGAAAATATTTTATGCCTTCATTTTGATCATTATAAGAAATAAAGCACAATGTAATGCAGATGTTCTAATTATTACATTCTATATATTTATTTGGGGTTTTAAAACATTTTTTGTTTGTTTACTTGTTTCTGGCTTGATTTATTTTAGTATACTATTTATACACTTTATAATAATTGCTCTGCATTTAAATTAAAATTAAATCAGGAGATAACACAGCTATCCCCATAAATCACTGGTACAAATAAGTAATAAACTTCTATTGTTTATTATTATTCCACTGACACGGAAGAACTCTTTATATCAGGAGTGTGTTTATCTGTTCATAGTCACATGTGGAGTAAATACACATTCATATTTTTGAGCATTTGAAAAAAATATAGAACTCAGAAGCTTTTGAGCCTGGAAATTTAAGTTAAACCTACCTATATGTCATGCTTTTTCAATGTAAAATTTCTCCTGAATTCCTCAGATCTTTTCGTAAAATGTAGTAAAGATCTTCATTTTCACGTAGCTTTCCTCATTTTAATATCATTAGGAGTCCTCATTACAAGAACATGGGGGAGGTGTGTATCAATTTCAGTCTTTGTGAAACTTCACTTTTATTTACTCAGACCTGAGCTGTGCTGTGTACCTCTCCATTCCTCAGAGGAGCAATGTCTACCATGTACTATTTCTGACAGTTTTCCCATATTGTTCCCCCAACCAGATCTCTGATGTGCACATTCTTTCTCAACTTAGAAATCGATTTTGTTTCTATTAAATCACTCTGATATTTTCCTCTTTATGATCAATATTAACCACAGAGTTTATCTATTACTGATAGTGAAAATATATTATCTTGTATGTTTCCTTAATTTGATACTATTTTTATACTAGTTTTATAATTTGCTGAACAGCACTAGTTGGCCATATTTTTTAGTAGTAACAATATGTAAACATTATTATTTTTTAATTATTTTAAGAATTTTACTAGTTCAAAACCTTCTCAGTACTCTGGTCATCCCTTCTCCCACTCTCCATCCACGTAAATAAAGTCATAGGGATGTTTGGTGTATAGAGGCAGCACTGCGTAGTGATTATACAATAATTTGGGCATCATACATTTTCCTTCATCCTTTCAATTAAAGTCATTTTAAGACTTATTTCTTCATCAATATTTTGTGGAAAATAATAGTATCTACACCAGTGGGTTAATTAAATGAGACAATGACTGCAAAGTATTTAGTTCATTGCCAAAGGCTTGCAAGTAACAACTTCAGTGAATGTTACTGTTCTGATGAGGATGATTAAGCTAGAGATAATTTAAAAAATTAAAAAATATAACTGTGTCATCACTATATCTAATGGAACAAAGAATAAAAATTTCTTTGCTATAATTCAGTAGCTGTGTATGAAAGATACCATATTCATGAGGTTATTTAGCACTTTACTTCCTCTCCCTGGTAGATCTAATTGTTTTTTTCAACCTTCATGATACTAATTAGTCTCTCATGATACACAAAACTATAATAATGGCTTAATAAGAACAGTAATATGCTAATCATAATTTTGGATCTAGACAACTGACTGCATTAATTTTCTGACATTACAACCATTTCTCTTAAACATACTCTAGTCTGGAATATCTGAGCCTTATTTAACATTGCATAGTCCTATTTTATTATTAAAGTTTATTTTTTAGGAAATGTTTTCCAAGTTTTTTGATTAATAATTTGGCATTAATTACTAAGATTGTACACTTGTAAGTTCTTAACATTTATCGTGTAGATGTTTATTTTTGTCCTACAATTTAGCTTTATACATACGTATACCTATAACAAAATAAAATAGAACAGATCAGACATTTGTGAAAAAGGATGTTGAATGACCACTGAATAATAGATCCTAATGTTTTGCTCTTCATGGAAATTTACATAGACTAAAAAGTGAGATTAACTACGTCAAACTTTTTTTCTAGAGATATATTGACAAAGGAAACAGGACATATACCTGGACTGCTGTCAATGGAACAGATTACAGGTAATTAACTATATTTATATGTATATTGAATAAAAGAATATTCACTTCGATTTCTTTCATCTATTTTAGTAGCCATTTTTCCAGTGGATGAATATTGTCTTTGCATTTTCATAAGCTATATTTAATATAATTAAAATAGAAATGTTACTTTTTCAACATTAAAAGGTTTAAAGTTATAGATTCTTTTTTTCAAAATGGAAAATATGGGAAAAAGCTAGGAATATAAAGTTTAGAAATGAAAACATGATACAAATATATTTGATATTTTGTATATGTTAGTAACAATAAATGTCGACAGTACACCCTTGATTTGTAGTTATCACCTCCACTGACCTCCTCATTGAAATTAGCTTACACCACTCACATTTTAAGTTGTAATTAACTTAAAAATAATATTCATTACATCATAGTATAATCTGATATAAAATGCTCAGTTGATATGTTACCCCCATGAGTAGCAATTTTGCAGTATCCCAATTCCTTCAGTTCACTGAGCCTTGTAAAATTGGACACGGTAACCCCTCCCCCTCATAAGAGTGTTAGATTCTAAGATTGTTGATGTCTTCATTTACTTTTAAATCCCCAGCTCATGAGACAGTGGCACAGGGTAGACATTCTGTATATATAAGAATAAAAGATTAAGATTTTCAGTTTGTCTTGTCCTGTCAAATTCAAAAAATGGTGTCCAAACTGCCATCAAAATATTTAAATCTGAAGGACTAGCCTGGCCCATGTGGCTCACTGGTGGAGCGTCGACCCATGCACCAAGAGGTCACCAGTTCGATTCCCGGTCAGGGCACATGTCTAGGTTGTGGACCTGATCCCCAGTGCGGGGCATGCAGGAGATGGCCAATGGATGATCTCTCTCATCAGCATTTCTATCTCTCTCTTCCTCTCCCTTCCTCTCTCTCTAAAATCAAAAAAGAAAAAATATTTAAAAATAAAAATGTAGCCTAATTAATAGCTTGTGATAGGTTCAACTATTTCTTAACACCTTCCCCCCATAACATACACATAACCTTTCAGGGGAGCCTAGGGTGCTAGGGACTCCTCTGGAGATATAGTGTTCCTATAATAAAAAACTGTTGTCTTTTGTGCTCCTAGGAGGGCATACAAAATAGATATAGAAGAAGAAGAGAACGTAGATATTAATGTCATGAAACAGTAACTGCCAGTCTTGCTCCACTTTTTCCTTTTTTGACATACTTTTGAATCTATTGAAAAACACCAGAATAGCTGGTTTAATTGTTTTTCTTGTGTATGTTTACTGATTTCTCTCCCTCATTTCTATTAGGCATTTCATTACATATATACAACCTTTATGTACATATACAAGTCATTAATTTTTCTTTATCTTTTATGACTATTGCCAGCTTTCATTTTTTGGATAAACTTGCCAAAAGATATAACAGCACAGAGGGAATCTAGGAGCCCTGTCTTTTTATTTATTTTTTATTATTATTATATTTTATTTTTAATCCTCATCCAAGGATATGTTTTCATTGATTTTAGGGTGAGGGAGAGAGAGAAACATCGATATTAGAGAGAAACGTTGATTGGTTGCCTCTCGAATGTACCCTAACCAGAGATTGAACCCACAACCTGGATTTGTGCCCTGACTGGGAATCAAACCCATGACACTCCAACCAACTGAGCCCCACCAGCAAGGAGCCCTATCTCTTTAGAGATGACTTTATGATAAAACAAGTATTGGATGTACTGTTGGGAATGTGCTCTATGACTTTGTTCCTTAGATGAACAGATTCCAAGTCAGAAGAATGGTTTCCTTTTGATCCTGACAACGAGTCGTCAATGACTGTTGGTCCAACTGCAGTTATAATTATACTTTGGGGGTATTTCAGTTCTCATTATACCTTACCTAAATGTGTTTGTAATACTTTTGGAAATGTCCTGTACATTCAACCCCTTTCAGACATACTACACAGTGTGGCTGGATTAATGTTTATTTCTCCAGGGTTGAACATGTCACTTCTTGATCACAAAACGTTAGTCTCTTCCCATTTTCATCCATGTTAAATTTGAACTTCCAGTTCTGATATTCACATCGCATATTTCTAGCCCAACCTGTCTGCCCTGTGTTTTTTCTCCCACACCCTCCCCATACAAACTACTGTTCTCTGAACAGGCCCAACTTTCCTACTATTGCATGTTTTCTTAACAAATTCCCTTCATCAATCTACAACTTTCAGCCAGATTTAATCTTCCTCCACTGTAAGTACTTCCCTGAATCTTTGTGCAAATAAATTCACAAACATTTAGAACAAAACTTTACATCTAAATTGAAGAAAAATGGCATGTATTGGTTTCATGAATGAGGTACCAAAGTTCACTTAATGATTTTTGTCTCCTTAAGCCTTGATATAATTTATCAAGGTATCAAAATTTGAACTTTAGTAATTATTTATATTACTAGAATTCTCTCATTTTAAATGAAGAATTTAGTTTTATAGTGATACATGATTGAGTTGAAAAGTATGTTATATTCCATTTAATTAGTTAATCATGTTTATGCAAGTCACAAAAATATTACATGGGATCTACTGTACATCTGGTGGCCACTGGCTTTAATAGACTTTAACTCCTAGGAGAAAATAAAGCAGCCTGGTCTATTGGTTTTATATGGAGGGAGGCAACCAACACTATGAGAGCATCGTTGACTGGAAATGTTGGTAAAGATCTTATCTACTGTAAGTTGAAGAAATAACTATTCCCTTAAGATGGAATAATTAAATTAAATGTAACTATTTTTCTATAGAGTGTAGCCAGGAATAACAACCTGAGACTTGCAGGCCAGATATATATTTAATATGTCAATTTGAAAACTTCTATTGTGTCCCGTGTGGCTTTCCACACTGTTTTTTATGGTACCTGAGACGTAACACAAGCTTACAGGATGACATTGTGGCAACCGCATGATATAATGTTATCGGTTTTAATTAGAAGTTTCTCTTAGCAATAAATGCTGATGGGGTAGTAAAATATCCTAATTTCCCTTGAGAGGAAATTTTAGGAGACAATCTTCAAATGCTCAGTAATTCTGCTCTATATCTTATAAATGGCAAGTGAATCATGAAAGGTCATCTCGTTTTCAGGCTAACTGCACTGCTTATTTTAATTTTAATCTCTGCCTCCACTTAAAGGAAGTTACCTATAAAATGAATGTAGAGATTTTCATTAAATCTATATAACATTTTATTTCTCTGACCTTTATCCATAAGGAAAGTTTATGGATTACTTAGTGATGGAGACTGTTTTGGGAACTGGAGATAGCAAGCATCCACCCATTTTGCTATCTTGACTGCATAGTTAAATTGTGGCAAATAAACCATTGTGGTTTTTTTATTCTTCATAGAATAAATTTTTAAGCTATTTAGTCATAAGAAGGAAAATCTGGAATTTTGTATTTTTTTCTGTTCTGTATTGTCCATAAAAAATGTAATGAGATCACAGCTCAGAAATCCATCCCAAGCCCAGAAAATATGAGGCTTGAATTATTTAAAAGATCTCCTGCAAATGCCTAGAAATGTTTAGAAGCTTAAATATGCATACCTTTTCCTGTATATTGCTAAATTTTATATTAAATATTAAAGGTGAATGCCGAATGACTCAAATGATCAAATCTGGCATCACTTTTTGAGAAAAGTTACTTTGGAAATCTTTGAGATAGCCTTATTTTTTTTGCATCCATTAGTTCATAAGTTTTCTTCTATATTTAAAGAATTGCAAAGGTCATGTGCAACAGTAAATGTGGATATGAAATACTTAGTAATGTCCTACACATATATATTCACCATTGTGAGAATAAAAGAATTACATATATGCAGTTGTATTATTGGAAATTGCATAACATTCAAATATTCTAATACATTTTAATAATCTTAATGCATTATATGTTTCATAAATTGGCAACTTCAAAACAGTAAGGTTACCTGACTGTCAGCTTTTTATTTTTTTTCATTCGTTAAGACAAGGCTTGAAGACAGGCTTGTCCAACAGTCCTGTGTCTAAAACGTTCTGAACTTGGGTTAGGTCTGCAGCGGACCTCTCCTCCAGTTTGCACATCTACTATAAGTTTAGAGTAGCCCATGACCCTGGAAGGTACTGAGCTCAAGACGTATGTACTTTTGTACCTGATAGCAATTTAGTGAGTGCTATGAAATATCCACAATAAATGAACTTGAAGTATTGGGTAAGAACCAATGGAATGAGCAGGACATTTTTCTTAGTGCTATAAAAGACTGTGAATTTTTCCTGTTAACAAACTAGACTCTGTGGACTTGTTCAAAGATTAGAGTATTAAAAGAGCAGGTATTTAGCCCTGTCAAAATAATATATTTCAGATGATCATATACATTATGCAGTAGAAATTATAATAATACTTATAATTGTAATTTTTAATAGCACATATTTGCAAAAGCTCTTTAACATTATATAGAATTCATTGATTTTATTTACTTTATTTAAATATACCCTTGTATTATTTTATCTTTTTCAACATTTTATTTTTTATTAAAAAAATTTTTTTTTTCTTTATTGATTTTAGACGAAAAGGAAGGTAGGAGAGAGAGATAGAAACATCGATGAGAGAGAACATGGATTGGCCACCTCCTGCATGCCCCCAACTGGGGATTTGGCCCACAACCTGAGCATGTCCCCTGTCCAGGAATCAAACCGTCGACTTCCTGGTGCATGGGTTGACACTCAAGCACTGAGCCACATTGGTTGGGCTTCAACACTTTTTTAAACAAAAGTATTTTAATACACTTTCTGGAATTATAGTACCCATCATATTTCTTTCTTAGCTAATTTATGGGCATATTTAGAAGCTTATTTTTTATATGTCTCTTCTGATTCCCTACAATGTAGAGAACTGGATGACTCAGGATTGCAAGACCGAATTAAGTACTCTATTAGCTGAATGCATTTTACTGTCAAAGTAATATGTCTTTTCCTTCCCATGAGGAAGATTTTGGGGTCTTTCATGAACTTGACGTGGTTTTTTTTTGTTTTGTTTTGTTTTGTTTTTGAGTTATGTTTCATTTTTGTTTGTTTGTGTTTATGCTTTTCTTGTTTCTATTGCAGTTTGGCCTTGGTATTACCAACCTACAGTTTTTACTATATAAAAGCCAAAATAGAAGAGACAATAACTCAGGCCAGATGTAAGTACTGTGGAAGCGACTTCAGGATTTTTTGCTATCTTCTAGTATCAAATGTTTAAAGGCGTCTAGATTTTGGAATACCCAAGGTTAATCCATTTTAGTAGCTGTTTATTACCAAATCTACAGCAATGATTCTAACCCATTCCAAACATGCAAGGAACAAGAAATATTCTACATGGATAGAATATGAGCAGGTACTCCAGTCTCACCGGCAGTCCCCACCACCCTTCCCTGCCTTGCTTTGTGCTCATAGAATCATTGCAGTGCTGTGTCCTCCGTTGCTGTTGTTTTAAAGGTCTTCTAGCTGATGCACAATGTTTCACGTAGTGTCTACTCATGGCACTGTGCTAGTAAAGCTTTACCTTTTCTTTCTTATTTTTGTTGCTTTTGGCAAGAATAATGTTGTGCTCCACATCTTCTGCTTTGTTTGAATACATTAAATTGCACTGGTCTTTGGTTTTGGTTTTGGCGATTGACTTTTTTCTCATAATCCAAATTAATGTCTTCAGTAACTCAAATGAATTGTGTTTTTTTTTTGTTGTTGTTAAGTATCATTTGGAATGTGGAGTAATTATTAACACTAGTGCATATTTCAAGTAATTATTAATCTTTATTTTGTTTTGGGTGACTAGATTTAGTAAAGTGAAATGACCATCATATTCTTTGTACATTGCTCAATTACTACCAACAACTTAAATTTTTTCTGGCACAATAAAGTAAAAAAAAAATGTATATGTATATATACCTTTTATATTTGACCTTAAATAAACTGGATTCTTTCATCCCTATGTTAGTTCTTTTTTACTCTCTGCAGTCCTGGTTCTCATAGTACATTGTGGTATTTTATACATTTTTATCACTTTCACTTGATAGATATGATGGTCTTTTAACAACCAGCAACTTTGCATGAGCTAGTTCTTCACTGGATAAATGAGGGGATGATTAGTGGGTTTTTGATGATTGGTGGATGTTTTTGTTTGTGGACTAACATTGGTATTGCACCTGCATTAACCACTTTGCAAAATAAACCCTTGAAATAACCACAGTACAGATATAGGGTGCTCTAGTGGTAATTGATGGACATACTTTCAGTCTTCAAAAATATGTGTCTTCTTTTCCAGACTAAAGCTGTACATAAATGAACCTTTGATCTATGCACAATATTTTTATTCAAGAAAGTCATTGAATAAAATATTGTTTGTGACCCCCTTTGCTTTACCCTCTTTTTTTTTGTTTGTTTCCCTGCTTTCTCTTTCTGATGGATTTTCACAGCAAAAAAGGGAAAAATGAAGGGCAAGTATTTTCTTGTTGCTCAATTTTTTTCTGTTTAGTACACTTGACATTTCCACTGATCTTTCCATTCCTATTGGATATTATCCTCTGTGCTTCTCATTGCTAGATTTTCCTCCATGATCACTTAAACCTTAGTGGCCAAAATGAGGAAAGAATATGTTTGTGTTTTCAAATGGAACCTTTTCACATTCAAGTTGTTTTTTCTTAGACTTAAATACTTGTGTGTTTTCATCTACTTACTAATTCATACTAATGTGAACAATGTTACTAATTCACTAAGGCATAAATAGGTTTGTTGACATCATTTTTTTTTTTTACCAAAATATTGATAAAATTTTTATGTTGGCATTTTAAATAAAATACCTGTTATGTAACATTGATAGAAATTAGTTTTTAAAGGTTCTGGTATGGTTAGTAAATGGGAAAATTATAAACATAGCATTTCCTCTGATATAACTATTTTAAACCATGTTATGAAATTAAAGTTGATTTTATTTTTGTGAGTATGGAGGAGATTTATATTAATTAATGTTTCAATTTAGGATATAAATAGTCTCTTTTAATTTTTCTTATTAGATTGTCTTTCTAATGCCTTCTTATTGCCATAGAATCTCAGGATATATATTCTCAATTGCTTATCTAACCCTGTAACGTTATCTTTGCAGATTCAGAGACACTGAAGCCGGATAATTTTGAAGAATCTGGCTATACATTCTTAGCACCAAGGTTGGTTTTTTATTTTATTTTAATTTTTATCATTTGTATGAATGATAATTGTTCTGAATTGGGGTCAAGACTGCTGCTCTGGTCTAATTTCATGCCAAATTATGGAACCAAAAGGAACAAGAACTTTAAAATCGAAAAGAATCCTGCAAATTCATTCACTTACCCATTTAGGTATTTACTAAGCAGCTACTATGTGCTAAGCAATGTGCTGATGTGGGGATGCAATTGTAAACAAGACAGATGTAGGCTTTTTTTTTTTTGGAACTAACTGTACAACAAAAATGAAGAATTATGTATTTGCATTGTGAGTATGTATACACATACAAACATACTCTATATATGTATGTTTTTATATTTTATGTAGATAGATACACACACATATATATATATTCACACATATACACTCATAGATATGTACAGATATATGTGTATATATACACATAAGAATTTATATACCTCCTAGAGGTCTTAACCACATATTAATTGTTTTAATACACTAACACAACTTTTTGGGAAAACATAATATAGTGACATTTTCTCACATACTCTTCAAGACTGACATTTTTTTTTCCTCCTGCTCAATTTTATTTCTTTTATATAATCCCACTTTTCTGTTTCTAATATATATTTTTATCTCTAGTTCCTCTTTTCATGTAATTTTTTGAAATTCTATTGAATAATCCAAGGGTGTTCTTTATTTTTATTTCTTTCCTTAGTTTTTGATTTCCCCTCTCTAGCAGACACAAGTAATATTCAAATAAATATAATTCCTATTAATCTAGACCAGTGATTTTCAATCAATTTCATCTCATGGCACACATAAAATAATTACTAAAATTCTTTGGCATACCAAGAAATATACTTTTTGCTGATCTGAAAAAAAGTAGGTATAATTTTGATTCATTCACACTGGAAAACTATTGCTGTGTTGGCTCGTGTCATTTTTTTTTTTTAATTTGACACTCCAAGGGAAAAGAGGTCAGTGCCCCTGACTAAATATTCAGGTATTGCAGGTTTTAAAAATTCTAATGGCACACCAGTTGAAAATCATTCATCTAAACTAAACTATTGAAGAAAATAGATTCAGGAGCTTGTATTCTTAATTTGTCACATTTTATACTTCTCAAGGAAATTACTCTCAGAACCCAATGAAGGCTCATTATAATAGGCTTAAGTTACTCTTTTATTTTATTTCTGCATAAGGATATCTGAATTCTTGGTTCTTTAAAATAGGGAATATGTAGTTCTTTCGAGAAATCTCTGTTAACAGAGCATGTTCCTGGCTTGATGAGTGACTCTGACCCTTACGCAGCTTCTCCTGCTTGAATCTCCTTCAGTGTTTGATACTCCTCATCACACCTTCCTTTGACTCTCTTTACCACCTCCTGCTTGATGACACGGTGTTCTGAAAACCTGCCTCCCTCCCGGCTGCATAGTCAGTCTCTTTCATGAACCTCTTTCCTTCTGCAGATCACTTCCACAGGGGTCCTCGCTTGGGCTCTCTTCTCTTCTTGTTCTGGGTCTACAGTCATACCACCTATCCAGTCCATGTGTACAGTCTGGGGTGATGCCTTCCAAATCTACAAGATGGCCATCTAGAAAACAAAATAGACGTAATATGTGGTTTATTGACATTATATTACAATATAGGATCAAACAATATATCTATTTCAAGACTTTATATCTGTACTACATTTTCCTATATGAGACTCATATTTATGGAAACCTAACAGGAATCTTTTTTTTTAAAACAAAACTCACATTTTATTTACATTGAAATAAACTATACAAAATTGACTTTCTTCACCAAAAATAACAGCAAGAGTGTCTGTATTATTCATAGATAACTACAAAACACATTTTTGTAGGTTTTCCAGGTTTGCTTATAATTCAAGATGAGGCAGTAGATGTAGTCATTGAAAATGACAGAATAAACCAGTTGTCAGTACCTGTGGCTTCTGATCTTGACTTGACCATGAAACAGAAGTGTTCAACATATACCTGCAAAAAACCTTATGAAGATATCGGTTCAACAAAGGAATGTAAACAGCAACATCCAGATGTGGAACAACACTGGCAGGTTCTTCTATTCAATCTTTAACTGTAACCTGTTCCTTTAAGATCACTGGATAAAGACAAAATCTACAATGAAATCCTTGTTTGGCAAGCTGATGTTTCTTTCACTGTCTGGTAATTCCCTTAGCTGTACATTACAGATACTGAACAGCATACTTAAAACTCCTGCTATTCCAAGGTTAGTCATGAGCTTCACCTCCTCAAAATGTATTTCTTCAAAGAACTGATAACTCAATACCTGACAACTGGATCCACAGTGATAACAAATGTTATGTCGAAAATGACTTAACTAAAACAATTTCAAAGTTCCATCAGCAGAGACCGTGCAGAAGTGCAACATGGCCTTTTTGATGCTGTTTTCTGGGAGAACAGTTAATTCTCCAAAGCATGAGAGTTCAAACAGGGGCCATTTAAACAGGCAGATTATTAATGGCTAATGTACTCAGGATATTCAGTGATTAAGTGGCTACATGCACCTTATAGCTTTTCTATGTTCTCTTTAATGTGCCTCAAATTCAGTGTCTCCTAAACCTTTGTTCTCTTTGGAGAATTCTTCTTCCTGTGTTGCCTCATTGAAGAAAATACCATCCTTTCAAATGCCCAGTCTTGAAACCTGTTAGTTGTCTTTACTCCCTTTCCTTCATATGTAACTTCTGATCTATCACTAAGCCCCACCAAACAGAATCTGTCTTGTGAATATCGAGTATATCTGTTGAACTCTGCTGCCTCTGTCCTAGAGCAGGGCGCTGCCTCCTCTCCCCTGAACTGCTGCAGCTGCTCCCAACTGATCTCCCCTCCTGCGGTATTTCCCCCACTTCCTAATCCCGCCTTCTAGCTGCAACCAGAGAGAGTTTCTGATGTGAATAAAATTATGTTTCTCATCTGCTAGAGACCAACCAATGGCTCAGTATTGTCCTCATGACAATCTTTACTTTGTATTATGACTTTAAAATTCTTTGTTGACCAGTGTGGTTCTGCATACTCTAGATCAGGGTCATCAAACTACAGCCTACAAATATGCAGCCTGTTTTATACACACAGTTTTATCGGAACACAGTTTATTGATGTATTGTCTTCCACTATGAAGGTAGGGTTGGGTAGTTGTGGCATAGGCACTAGAACCCACTGAGCCTGAATCATTTACTTTCTGGCCTCTTAAGAAAAAGTTAACCTTTACTCTACATTTCAGCCATACTAGACTGCTCTCAGTTCCTAAATGGACTGCCTTTACCCTTACCTCTATTTAATTACTAATATTCTTTTCTATTTTGGACTATACTCAGACAGACTCCACCCCTACCCAAACCCCAAATTCAAACTTCTTGATCTGGGAATTTCTTTCCCATCTTCACTGAATTGGACACCCTGGCTGACTGCCTCATAGAATACTGTATTTATTATAGGAGCAGCAGCCACATTTTATCTTATTTACTTTTCCCAACATAGCCACAAATGTGTCGCTTAACTATTCAATACCCAACATAACATCCATTGCCCGGTACATAGTAGGTGCTGAATAAATATTTGGTAACTGTGGAATCTATAAATATATGAAGAATATTTTAAAAATCATATGATTAACAATAACACTTGCAATATTATTATTCTTAATACAAGTACCTTTGAGCAACTTAAAACTGCTAAAATAAATTTTAGGTAGAAAGGAGACCATAAAGGACAGAACAAATGTCCCACAGAATATTTACATGTTCACACACTAACACTGTAAGAAGAGATAGATATTACAGTGAAGTGATACATTGTCCATCTCACAAATGAGTTTTCCTCTGGGCAGCTTCTTCACTCATTCGTCCCGATTATTAAATAGCAGACCATGCTGATTGGCTTCCTGTACTCCACCATCGAACAAGACGGAAGACATGTTAAAAGTACAGGAAACTCACAGAGAGGATAAATGTATCTCACAATTCCAATTCCCAATCTGTAAGCAGTGGACCTTGTTTAGTTCAGCAAGGGTTAGCTGATGGGCCATTTCCATGGCCTAAGTCACATTCAGTGTCAACATGACTGATTGGAAGGCTGGAATTTTCTTATGTGTTTAGGGATGGAGCAAAACTTCCAGAAAAGGGAAGCAGTGTTGTACCTGTGGCACCTCAGTTAACACGCCCTAAGCCCCTTTCATGCATAAATATATTTACTGCTCAAAAGAGCTCTCTAATAGATTAGTGTTATTGCATTTCACAGATCAGGAAACAGGTTTAGAGAAGTTAAATAATATGGAATTTGAACCAGTTTCCTTGTTACTGCGAGATATTAATATGTATACCGAATGTACAAATGCTAATGGATGTCAAAAGAACATTCAGTACATCTGAGTAAAGTATTTTTGTAGGGAAGGATTGCTGAGGAAGTGAATACTGAATGTGTATGCAAAGAGCTGTGGAAAATAAAATGATAAAAAATTGGGAGAGAGAAAAACGGGCGAGAAAAGACAGAAAGTGATGTGGTATAGGACAGAAGCCATATATTTTTGTCACTGTTACTAATGAGAGACAGTGTAGCAAACTCTAGAGCAAGACAATCTGGGTCTGTTACCCAGATGTTCATTGTCACGGCTGTGTGACTCAAGTTCTCTGCACCTTAGTCTCTTTACTTTCAAATGTTGCATTAGTAATACTTGTCTCATAGAGTTTGTATAAGCTTTAAATGAGATAATGCATGCCAATTATTTATCAGAGTTTTTGGTGAGATATGAGTTCTAAATAAATATTAATTATTATTTATGATTGTAGTAAAAGTAGTAAGAGGAAGGGAAGGAGAGAGGATTATTAAAAAGCAGTTATTTTAAAATATTTACACAAGAAAACTTGCAAATTTTAAAGATATATAACCATCTTTGTTAATTCCCAAATAAATTAAACTATTTTATCCTGATTAATAGTCAGTTTTTGCAGTTTCCTCAATTTTAAAACTACTGCAAACGGAAAATGTTGTGAATTGAGAGGCACAGAGCATTCCTGCCTGTAAGAGGCATACTGTCACAGGGAGGAAAGTCTAAAACATAGGTTAATTTTGATATCTTTCTTGGATATTCAGAAATGAGAAAGGCGTTCAAAGAAGATGAGTTGGAATGAGAAATAACAGTATGTGACAGTCTAAAGTTTAATGCTAATCTGTGATATATGTCCTATTAGAGTTTGTTGAACAGAATGAGAACAAACTCATTTTCAGTTTTCTAGAAACAGATAATTTGCCAAAATTTTAATACTAAAGATATGTAGTTTCAAAGCCTTTTAAGTTGCAAAGCTAATTTGGTCAGAAACAGAAAGTGACGGAAAGAGGTTGTAACTTTCAGGCCCTGAAGGTGTTTCCAGCATATCGAAGTTGACTTGTTCCTTTAAAGCAGCCGTCGTCCTCCACCTGTGGGTCACGACCCCTTTGGGGGTCGAACGACCTTTTCACAGGGGTCACCTAAGACCATCGGAAAACAAATATTTCTGATAGTCTTAGGAACCAAGACACGGCTCCTCTATCTGTGTCCAGGCGGGTCCGCCCACATGCAGATACGCCCACATACAACATGAGGAACTGTATCAAAGGGCATTGGCATTAGGAAGGTTGAGAACCACTGCAAGCCATGCAAATATTTTTTCACCTTGCTGCTTCACTTTTCTGAGGAATCATTTTCCTAAAAGAAACTATTAAATAATGATCAATGTGTAAAATTGATCTCCTCTAGAGAAACAGTGCCTCAGGTGTATCAGCTGGTCTTCCCACATGTCTTTGGGGAACAATTTAGAAATTTTGGTAACAATTGGTATTGTTTGGCCACCCACTGTCATGTGTGATTCCTTTGTGACAAGAACCTAAGAAAGAGTGATTATCTTGAGTCCTCAAGCTCCAGGCCTGTGTCGAATAATCATTAGGCTAACAAGCAAGCAACATCAATGCTGTCTGTCTGACCCCACATTTGCCTCTCAGATATTTCCAGCAGTCTCTTTCTGGTTACTGCCTGTGGCATAGGCACACTCCACCTGGTGGGTAATCTTCTGTGGTCCTTATTACTGAGAACTCATTCCACAGACACAACGTCCAGTTTTCATTTTTTAAATCCTTTCACGTTTGTTCCCATGTAATTCAATAGCTCTCCTTAATGGTACTTTCAACACTTTTGGCTTTCACTATCAGTAAACATCAGACTATTAATTGATTGCCTGGTGTTTACTGTAACCAGGGGTGGTCAATATCTTGAATGTCAATAATTTCTTTAGATGACTTCAAAATGCAGCACAATTCAACCAGCAAGGATAAACAGCAACAACAAAAACATTATGCCATTGTCTAAATAAATTGTTCACAGAACTAAGGGGCTTCTGTTGGTACAGGTTAGAGTTGCTTGTGGCCTGGAGCTCTGCAGTAACAAAAGGGCACAGAGGGCCAGTTCAAAGCACATGGTGAGGTTAAAACACACTGATTAGGGATGGGAAGACTTGGCTCCTCCTCAGTGCTTGACCATTTATTTGCTAGTTATGTGCCTTTGGGTAAAAATTCAAATCTTTTTTTTACAAAATCTTTGAATTTCAGATTTTTCAACATTGAAGTGTTAAATAGTTTCTGATAAAGTGAATTTTAGGATTAAATGAGCTTAGAAATGCCTTTTAACCAATAAATAAGAATTCTAAAAATGAGTTGTTCCTAATTTTTGCAACATTTTATTTAGTTCTTTTAGCACCTTGCCTTCCAATTTGGTGAGATCCAAATTATGGTGGCTTTTCAACTACCAGGCTAGTGTGATTTTCAAAATAGCCTAACATTGTGGGAAGAAGTCACATTCTGCTCTGTCAAATGATGAAATGAGTACAAATCATATAAACTTTCTCAACTTTGCCTTTTAAATTAAAATTTCTCATGACCCAGGAAGTTTTTTTTGTGTTTTAAGTTCTGACACTCTGTTCCTCTCCACTTTCCTCTGAGGTTTATATTTAGGTAATGAACTTGCATCTGAAAATATTTACTATTTAATTGAATTTTTGTCTTGAATATTTGATTATCCAATCTGTTGGTTGTATTAACCAAGCTATTATAATTATAACCTTATATTTATTCTGAATTTCTAAAACATGTAGGAAAAAGCATGGTTCTCAGAACACTGTAGGTTCCAGAGCCCTTTCAGAGAATCCACAAGGTCAAAGCTATTTCCTAACAATGTCATGATGTTTGTCTGTTTCATCATATTGGCATATGCATTGACAGTACAAAAGCAAAGGTGAGCTGATACCTTTAAAGGAATTAAGACAGTGGCACAAAAGTGCCACTGTAACCTTCACTGCCAGGCACCCACATCAGGGAAAATGCCAGTTGCACTTTAAAATGTCCTCGATTGAAGAGTGAGAGTTACTTACTCATTTTTATTAAGCTTTCCCCTTGGGTATATGTCTTTTAATACTCCGTGCGATGAAAATGGAAGTTCTGTGGCGTATCAGAAAACTTGGCAAGAAAAACACTTGTCTGATTGTTTGAATTGAGAGCTGAAATTGGTGTGGAATTATTTTTTTTCATGAAATAGCATTTTAATTGAGTGATTTTGGTATTTGGGAAATATTTTCTCAAAGATCAATAAGGTGAGCCTTTCTTTGCCAATGACAAAAATCTGAGCTTTTAAACAAAAATTAGAATGTTGGGAAAGTTGTATATATTGCTGTGCACTTCCCAATAGTTGGATTTATCTGTTGAGATCAGTGATGATATTAATGAATGTGCATTTTCAGTATTTTATAATGAAATGTGCCATCATTTGGAAGATCTGCATAACCAATGAATCATGTTACAAAATCATACATACAAAAAGATTCATCTAAAGTATAAAATAATTCACTGAATATTAATGTAACAGTACAAAAAGTTCATTGACATTGTTTCAAATTCAATATTATAACTCAAGAAATCATAAATCCAATTTTTGTATATTATCAAAAAAGAATAGACACAATTATCTAAAATGACTATTAACTCATCCTCTCTTTTCCAACTGCATATCTGTATGAGAACAATTTTTTTCATGTGCCAAAACAAAATCTTGTAGTTAATTGAATGCAGAAACACACTGTCTTTTATTAAGACAGGAATTAGAGGTTTGCAAATAGTTAAATCAATACCACTTTTTTAACAGGTTATTTTTTTTATTAAAAACAGTAATTTCTCATAAAAATGTTAACATATAATGGGTTTTTCCTGATAATTGGTGAAAAAATATTTTAAAAACTTTCAGTTAATTTCTATATGAAAACAGCAAACCTACAACATACAGTGATAATAATGTAATAGGAATAGCAAAAGCTAGCATTTATATATTATCTATAATACCATTTATTGTCAAAGTATTGTTTTGATGTAGAAATAATGACACAGAGGTAACAAGAATTTCAGTGGCTTGAAAAGTCATGTAGCTAGTTTAAAAAAGTGTTTTACTTTCTGTGATTACCATGTACATTTTTAATGTTTTGATTTTAATACCCAGTATCTTAAAATATTTTTTCAGAGATTACTGCAGTGACCTTAAAATATCAGATAATAACACCGAATTTCTTTTAAATTTCAATGAGCTTATTGATAGAAAAACGCCAAACAATCCATCCTGTAAGTATACATTAACTCACAATAATTGTTTCACTCTGGTTATATCCAAAGTGGTCAAGTCTTGGTTCAGTTTAATTTGTTGTTATGATGGTTTATTTATTTACTTTATAAAATTTTAATGGTAAAATGTAACAATATGGCCCGAATAAAGAAATTTTATCACATTACTAAGTGAAATCAAAATTTCAAAGGCAGATAATAGATACTTGCAAATGTTTAAATGTAAACAGGATATGCTTACTTTTGCTCCTTTCAAATTTCAGGTTAATCTTGAATGATCTTTTAATGGTTTTTCATTGCATTGTTCTTGCTATACAGGGGGAAACAAACATATAACACATTTTTATCAATTCATATATATTTCCAATTTATATAATGAGCTTTAATATGAGCAGAATAAAAACAAGATATGAAGTTGCATTACTTAATTGTTTGTTTTCTTGCTGATATTCTATTTTGATTACAGTTAACTTTGTGATTAAAAATATGCTTCTAGTGTGGATCTGTGGATTGAGTGATGCCCCATGGACAGAGAGGTCCTGGTTTGATTTCCTGGTCAGGGCACATGCCCAGGGGTTGTGGGCTTGATCCCCAGTAGGGGGCGTGCAGGAGGCAGCCAATCAGTGTTTCTCTCTCACATTGATGTTTCTCTCTCTGTCTCTTTCCCTTCTCTCTCTACCAATTTAATAAAAAGAACATTTTAAAAAAATGCTTTTATTTTATGAAGTAAATAAGATTGGAATTAAGGAAATTTTAGTAGTCTTTATTATATTTGTCTTTCAGAGAAATTTGCATCATTCATACTATGAAATTTTATAGAGATTTATGGATTCTTAGCTTTTAAAACACTTAAAAAATCTTAACTCTTTTTTTCCCCAGAAGTATTCCATTAAAGTACTGTCATGAAAAAAAAAATGCAATGCAATTGGGAAATAACAGAGGAAAACAAGCTAGCTCTATGGTGAAAAATCTACCTTAGTATATATATTTGAAAATAAAAAGTATACATAGTTGATGTTTTTGTTCTTCCCTCTTCCTTCCTCCATCTTCTTTCTTCTGTTCCTCCTCTCACTTCCTTTTTTCTAAAAAAAAAAAATTCTCTATCAAGAAGAGTTAAACAAAGCACTTTGTCTATTATAAAAAGTGAAAATTCATTTTCAAAACTGTCTCTCAAATTCAAATTTATCTAAAAGAAATAAGTAGCACCTCTAGGAAGACTTAGCCACTCTGAAAACCTGTCTTGGGTAGATGAAGTCTGCATTGATCATGCCTGAGTAAGTAATTCCAAACCTTTCTACTCAGTGTGCGCTCACCCTGACTGAGCTGGAACTTTTCAAGGTTATTGTACATTATTGTTCATTTCCTATTAGTAACAGGTTTCCCAAGAGAGAATTGAAATAATATATTATTGAATATTCCTTTAATTGTATGCCCATAGATCCAAACAAAGTAGGAATATGTTTTAACAAAGTACTTCACTATAGTAGTACTAATATCTATACACTTGTCTGTTCTTTGATCTATTTCTCCATTTCACTCAGCTTTTATCTGCCTCCTCTGTAATCCAGTAAGAAATGTTTAAGGTGATTATATAGTCATGTGAAGAGTTGAAATTTTATTGGATTTTTAATTATAAAAAGTAGCTAATAGCTATAAAATAATTTACATTTCCTCTGACTATTGCAGATTTTTCTCAGTCATATTTTACATCATGTTATCAAGTAGTATGTAAAACTAACTCTAAGTAAATACCAGTGGTTGAAATCTAACTGTGGTCTAAATAGTTTATTTCAAATGGGTGCAGTAAAAATTAATTTTGGTTTAAAAAATTACTTAATCCATCAGTAGAATTGCAATTACAATTATTTAACTTCATTTATAAACCTACCTAAACGTTTACGCTATAGAGTGGTTGTCTTCCTCATATTTTCCTTTATTTTGAGCTAATGTGAAAATGATACTGTGTGTGTAAAATGGTAAAGATTAATGCTATTAATCTGTTTTTATGTTGTATGTAATTAGCATATTTTAAGACACCTTTTAGACTTACAGGATAGTGGTAATATAAATGAAATTATTTACAACACTGGTTTACATTACAAATTAGAATAATGGTCTTTTTTTGTTTGTTTGTTTTACCTGAAAGGATTTGAGACAATTAAATTATAGCATTCACTTTCTAAATGGACTGCTTTTTAAAGAGATGCAATTTCTAAAATAATATAATATAAAAGATAGTTTCTAAAATGAATTGAAATGAATCCTAAAATATGGATTATATTTATCCTTTAATCCTGGATGAAAGGTACATTAAATTAAAATAATTAAAACCAACTAAAATGTTTTCATTCTATCTTACCCCCACCTCTTGTAGTAAGAGGATAAGTAAAACCATGTACTTCTTACCAAATAAAATGAAATTTGATTATAAATGTGAAGCTTCAGAGGGTACTGATAGGTTATTCAGAGCTTCCTGGGCTTAGAGCAGAGGAGCCAGGAGAAAAGGAGGAAGGAAAGTGTTTAAGAGTGTGTGTTAATTTGACCCTTGGTTCTCATCATCTGTTCTCTCCATTACATTTGAACTGAGCTGATAGGCTCCTTCGCTCCTTCACTAATGTCAGTAGATTCCAAAAGCCAGCCTTGGAACAGAGCTGGTCTGTGATAACTTACTATGTTCCTTGGCCAAAACTAAAAAATCAAAACAAAATGTATACAATTATGTAATTTTATATTTATATATAAAATCATCCATGAAATTATGATGATTTAGAAACACTGCACTAACCTACAAAAAAAGAGAAATACTATTTCCTCATTGATCCTGATTGGCATATTTCATATATCTTTTTATAAAGTTTACAAAATAAGTTGCCTCATTTAGAATTGGGTTTTCCACTACCAGTTCTGTCCATACCCTGAAAAATGTGAGATAAGAGGAAAATATAAAAAAAAAAATGCATATATTTTAAAGTCATAGACATATTATACATTCTAAATTGCTGTTAGAAATAGATACTATTTTATCTCATTATCTTAATTTAAAAAGTATGTGGGTGTAATTGAGGGTCTCCTTTTTTTGTGTTAGGTAACACGGATTTGATAAACCGAGTCTTGCTGGATGCAGGTTTTACAAGTGAACTGGTCCAGAATTATTGGAGTAAGCAGAAAAACATGTAAGTATTTGTTCTTATTAATAAAAAATATATGTCCTCTATTTCAGTTTAGTATTTTTCTGGTAAATCTCTGGAAATAGGTCTCAAATTTATTATTTATAAATAATAAAGTCTATTATCTTTAATAACAATTTCTCAAGAAAAGCATTTGCAGTTGTTTATAACATGCATTTGCATTTGTGGGCGTGTTGGGAGTAACATCTGCTGTTACTCCACTTTACATGTAGTGTATACACTGAAGTGTGAACAGGCGTGTGTGTGTGTGTTTTAGCATGTGTGATAAGAAAGGGTTCCTAGAGCACCCTTGGGCTTCCTGTTGGCTTTCTAACAGCACTGCCATACACCAAGTCGAGGAACTGAAAAATCTGACTGTGGTTCTCATTTACAGTCTCTTCTCCACCCTTTCCAGTCAATCATCAAATGCTATATATTTCTTCTAACAATGTTTTCCTCTCCTTCATACTCAAGGTCTTAATTTCCATTACCAAGAAATTACAGCCACCGAGTTTTATGCCTTTAGTGCTTCCCAGTTCTTTACCTATAGTAGCCCCTAGTCTATATTATCCATATAACTCCCATCTGCCAGTCTTACTTTTAAAATGAAGGTCCAATTCCAGGCTAACAGTAATGCTCTCCAGAATAGATTTCAAGATCATTCAGATCATTCATGAACTGACCATTCCTAGAAGCTTGTACTCGAAACTTGACTTCCTATTTTTCTTACCTGTGCCTTATGTTTATATCACACCAAATACAGTCACTCTTCACTAGTTTCCTCTTATGTGTACTCTTCATTTTACATATGATATCTTCCTGCTTTCTCTGTCATCCCTGTTAATTCTCACTCCATATTCAAAATTCAGCTGTATTATTTTTTTCTATGAGATGCCTTCCATAAGCATCTTCCTTTTAAGTACTTATTTCTTACATATTTTAACTCTTAAAATATAATTGTATCTATTGATATATTTACTTTGGCCTTCTGTATTTTAGGAACTCATTTTATTTATCGTTGTATCACCAACACCTAAATTAATACCTTACAAAGAGTAAGTTGAATAAAATACTTCCTTTTTCTGTCTTCTGTTCCAGCAAGGGAGTGAAAGCACGGTTTGTTGTGACTGATGGTGGGATTACCAGAGTTTACCCCAAAGAGTAAGTTCAAATAACATCTGTAAAAATAAGTCCACCACAAAAGACTACCACTGCAAGAATCTGTACATTACTATATTAGGAAGCCATTCTTCAGAGACACGGGTCATTATTCATAGATGAAATTAGAGTCAGCGTTTAAAGTACTTACATTATTAAAATATTTCACTTCTTTAAAAATGCTATCATATGATTTGTCAGTGATGTATTTGCTTATCATGTACATTACATAATTTAGGAGATCTTAAAATAAACATTTCTCTTTGTAGACACAAAACTAAATGAACATAATGGTTATAGCCTATAGACTATATTTATATAGCGTTTTGTTGTTTTCACTGTTCTTCAAAGGATCTTACCTGTGTTTATCTTCAGAACAGGCTGTAAAGTGGGCTGGGCAGGCTTATTAATATTAATTGACCTGTTAACTGACTTGTCCAGAATTACCTAGTTAGTAAATGGCAAAGGAAAATGAAGAATCAGCTTTTTCTGACCCTTTATATAATTCTATGCTGATATCTTGCTTAATAATGAGTATCATTTATCCCATCAATCACCACTAACTTGCTTAGACATACCTGAGATGTAGACATATCTGTACATTTCAGTTTTGTCCACAAAGGGAAAAGTAGGTCATCAGGTAGATTAAAGAGTACAAATGATGAGCCATTTCCTCTTTAGGGCTGGAGAAAATTGGCAAGAAAACCCAGAAACATATGAGGACAGCTTCTACAAAAGGAGTCTCGATAATGACAACTACGTTTTCACTGCTCCCCACTTTAACAGTAAGCATTACTTTGGAATTTAGCTTTCTCAGTTTTTAAAATAAATTATGGTACTACCCGCATCCCCCTGAAACAATATATTGTAAGAATAGTCATTATTAAGTATACACTATATGCTGACATTGGAAAGACAGAAGTATCTATTTAATTGAAAAGGTAAAATGTGCACACAGGCAACAATCATCCGGTAACGTAGAGACGGCTTATCTACAGGTGTGCATAATACATGGGAACACATGTAGGCCATCCCTCATTTCACAGACTGCAAATATAATGAAAAATGTTCAATGAATTTTTTAAAAATGTAATTAATCAGTTTATTCCACTCTAATTGTGTTAATTGTATTATTTATAGAAATCAATAATAGCAATATTTAAAAATATTGTATTGTGTTATTTCCCCAAATTTTTCTAATTTGATTTCTCAGCCTCTCTGGGGGTAGGTATTATTTATCCTCCTTTTCACAAGTGGGAAAACTGAAGTTCAGAAAATTTCAGAGTTTTGTCCAGAGACATATATCTTCTAAAATGCAAAGGCAGTTTGGGAATCTAAGATCAATATTTCCACTTCACCTGACTTCCCAATATTTTAGCAAATGTCATGAAGCAGAGAGAGATTTGGCATGCACTCATTATATTATGGAATAGATGCACTCAAGATGAACAGTTCACATCCCAAAGTCAACTAAAGCAAACCAATTCAAGGACACTCCAATTACCCTGGTAGAATAGTTATCTACTGTAAGAAAGTCAATATTATTTGATTTATCTAGATAGGTCTCTTTTCCTTATTTTTTTAGAAAGTGGACCTGGTGCATATGAATCAGGCATTATGGTAAGCAAAGCTGTAGAAATATATATCCAAGGAAAACTTCTTAAACCTGCAGGTAAGAATATATATTATATACATCCATATGACCAAAATTAAATGTGACTTAATATTTGTATTAAAAATGGGCAATGCTTATCAGACAGTTTCAACCACAACAAAGTCAAAGACAGGCAAATACAAAAAAAAAAAATACAAGGAGTTTTTTGAGAGTGGGGATAAAATAAAATTGATAGTATATAGAGTTGAGGAATTTTCAAAGAAGTATGTATGTTTATACACTGTTGACAGAAATTTATGAAGTCAATTTAGTGTCATATCAAAATTCCAAATGCTGGATTGGTCCAGCGATCCCACACTAGAAGTCCAACCTTAAAGACACTTTTAAATATGCAGAAGGATACATGCCAAAAATGTGAATATTTGTAACGATGTGAACATGGAAAGTTTATTTTTCATCATTAGGGAAAAAGATAAATTATGGTATTTCTATACTCTTTATCTATTAAAAGGTTTTAGGTAGGGACTCATTTTTTTAAAACTTTCAATAAAATTGATAGAAATATGACTTTTTTTTGTTAAATCAAACAAGAAAAGAAAACAATATGTAAAACTGAGCATCGATGGGAATTGGAAGTAGGCTGGAATGAGTAGATACAATAAAGTTACAATTATTATTTTTTTCATTGTATGATTCAGTATTGTTTAATTTTTTTAAAGAGCATGCATTAGGCCACCTGGAGAAGGTAGATAAATTGCCTTCCTGCTCCTGGTGGCAGTTTTATCCCTATTGTTCAAATACATAGGTAGATTCACCCCATCACTTACTCACTAACCAATACACCCCTCCCTTCATTCACTCAGTTCCTTTTATTTTCTTAGTTATTCCCTCAGATGGTTATTCATTTCTCCACTTTCCTACCCTCTCATTCTTTCATCTTCTCATCTATTCATTCAACATTTTTTAAGTACCTATTACATTGGCTGGGTAGGAAAGCCTCCTAAGACATTCTGCTTGAATGACCTTATATTTATAAGGCTATTCCAAATATTATCACTTTTTTTTTTGCTTATTATCTGTATTAGTTAATTAGCCAGGTTATGGTAAATAAACAAACTGTGTTGTGAATATAGATGAAGTTTATGTTATAGTTGGATAGCTATCAACATTACTTCTTAATGAAAACCCTGAGAAATATTTCTGTAGTAAATATTATATTCCACACAAATTTAATGCTCTTATATAGATTACCTACATTATCATGTAGCAAATCTATACATGAGCATTAAATTTTGAGCATAGTTATTGCGGCTAACTAAAATTATAATCTTTTAAATTGATTCAAGTAAACTTTTCAATGTATAGCTGAAATTAAATTATTATTATTTTTTTAAATCTCAGGAAACTTACCCTTGTCTGCTCAGGAATTCAAATATAAGAGAAAAAATAGATATGTGAGAAGCATAGCTACATTTATTTAAAAGTATATGTCCATTTTTCTTTTACATAATTTTTCAGTTGTTGGAATTAAAATTGATGTAAATTCCTGGATAGAGAATTTCACCAAAACATCAATCAGGGATCCGGTAAGATAATTTTTTAAAAAATTATTTTACTATATACTTAATAATCTCAAATGTAAAAAGAAATATAAAAGTAAAATCTTATTCAGACAGAGGCAAAAGAAAATTTCAATGCCACTACATAGAAACAGTTATAAATTCCTCTTTTTTCAAATAGTTTTTAAGTGAGTTAATAAATATAAAAAACATATTTCAATGTTATAATTTGAGATGCTAGTGTAAATATCTACTAATTGCCATTTTCTAATTTTAAAGTTAATTATCTGTATTATTATGGACTAGACTAATATTTAATCTTACTCTTATACTAGATACATTATTCTGATCTATAATTGTAACATCGTAATAATATGATAATTAAAATTCAATTTTAAAAAATGTGATGATAGTTGCATTTTGTCTTTCAGTGTGCTGGTCCAGTTTGTGACTGCAAAAGAAACAGTGATGTAAGAAAACTTTAAAATATTTTTTCTTGTTTTCTTGCTAAGATTTATGATAAAAAAAAGATGCAGAAAATGTTAATCAAATGCTAAAAAATTACTCTATGGAGTTGTGAAATAATTTATAGGTAAGAATTTTAATTATACGTTTTTAATCCTTAACTTTAAATGCTTCTATTTTTTTAAAAGATTAATATAGTATGGGAAATTATAATAAAACCATATCAATATGGGCTATATTCTCTTCTATCTCAATTTTGTTAAATTTTTTTGGTACATATTTATTTTTACCTTTGTTCTGGTAGGGAAGTATCTAACCAAAGTGTACTTATTAGTTATTATCTGTGCAGTCTTCCCTCATCTTTTGCGTTTTCTCTAAATTTGTTCAACCCTGTATTTACAATGATGAGAAATGCTTTTTTAACTAAACCTGGGAATTATATAACTTATTATAAAGTTCCACTAATATGGACTGATTTTATATTATCTTGTATTTTATTTCTGTTTGAGAGATTGGAAAGCAAATGTGGCTTTCTTTGTTCCAAAGCTGAAGATGCTCTAAGAATGATACTAGATACATTATTACAAAAATGAATAAAGAAGGATGAATTCCATTCTTCTAGTCATCTTATCTTTGTGTACATTTCCAGGGGAAGCAAGAAGTTTATATCATCACTTCTAGTCATCAAAATTATAAGCCAATAATTTAATTATTTTTGTAGTTTGTCCATTTTTCAGAGACTTTGTAAACATAGATTATAAAAACTATTATTTTTAAAGTAAAGGCTTTAACAAGATGCTTCCACAGTAGGAAAATGGAATGGGTATGTCGCCAACTCTGAATACAATGTTTTAAATTGTGATTTTTTATACAGTAACAATTATTAAATTGATGTATGCATTTAAACATGATTTAAACTAGGTGTGAATTTATTCTAGATTTCAGGACTAATGATTTTTTTCTTAGTCACAGGCATTTCTTGTTTTCTTTTTATTTTTTAAAAACTTTAAAATATGCTTTTATTGATTTTATTTTAGAGAGAAAGGAAGGGAGAGAGAGATAGAAACATCGAAGTGAGCAACACTGATCGACTGCCTCCTGCACGCCCCCTGCTGGGGATCAAGCCCACAACTCCGGCATGTGCCCTGACTGGGAATTGAACCAGGACCTCTCAGTCCATAGGACGATGCACAATCCACTGAGCTACATAGGCCAGGCTTACTTTTTCTTTTAAATCTCAAATTATCCAACCAAGTATTTTTAATATAAAAATAGTTCTAAATATCCTCAGGCTGCTGTTTTTTTTGTTAAAGTCTGTGAAGCATGGTGACTAAAATTCATTTAAAAATATTTTTTTTGTCAAATCTTAAATATGTGCTTAAAATAATAAAATAATTTTATGTTATTAAATATTTGGATCTATCCAATTTACTGAATCATTCAGATGACTTTGGAGTGACAAAAAGATTATTTCTGATTTGTTAAGACTGAGTTGACAGTTTTAACTGGATGGATAATGGTGGAATACCAAGCCCTGAGTGTTTGATATGAATCTATTCATGCCCTTAGTTTATTTCATCAGACTCTCTTGAGCATACGTGTTCAAGAGAAGACATAGTCCTTCGCATTTTTCTCCTATTATTGTAATCATCTACATATAATGGAGTAATGACAATGCAGTCTTCTTACCTTCCTAAAAATGTGTCAACTGCTGTCGTTACTTTAATAGGTAATGGATTGTGTGATTCTAGATGATGGTGGATTTCTTTTAATGGCAAATCATGATGATTATACTAACCAGGTATGTACCTAATGTGAAAAGAACTAAGGCATCCAAAGTATATTTTCCTGATTGACGTTACAGAACTCCTTCATACCATAATAGAAATTGAAGAGTTATTTTATTTTTGTTACAAATTTTAAAGTGTTTAATATGATATAAATCATTAAGAAATGCATCCAAAATCTAGGTTTTCTTATGTTTCTTAGTTGAGTTTACTTTCTAGTACTCACAGTAATTAAAACATATAGCTAAGGGTCTTAACATGATATGAACTTTTTATTTTTGATCTCTCAGAAATTTAGAATATTTCCATATATTAAATAGCTGTCAGTTGATAACGTCTAACTTCACATATGGCTGGATTGAAATAGGTGGCGTTTCTAATCCCAAGTTTGTAAATTGGCAGCATGTAGGCTGTTTTGTTCACACACAATTTTGAACAAAGTAGAATTTGTTGCTAACTAATTCCATTTCTGAATCTACATTTCTGGCTTTTCTTTAAAAAAAAAAATCTCTCACAATGACCTTTTTTCTGACAATATTTTGGGGCTGGAGTTTAGGATAAAACTCTAGGGTTAGCCTCTGGAATACCCTGGAACCCTATAGATGGGACTCACTCCAGTTCATCACAGTCCCCACAAGTTTCTTTCTTTCTTAAATTCCACCCATTTTTCTTATTTATGGTACTTTTTTTTTTTGTCTTCAGGAGGCATTTGATTGTGTCTTTTTAAAAACATGTATTTATTGATTTTTAGAGAGAGGAAGGGAGAGGGAGATAGGAACATTGATGAGAAAGACACATTGATTGGCTGCTTCCTACACACCCTCAACAGGGATCGAGCCCACTGTCTGGGCAAGTGCCCTGACCTGGGATTGAACCGGTGACCTCTTGGTCCATAGGTCAGTGCTCAACCACTGAGCCACACTAGCTGGGCTGGTTGTGTCCTTAATGCTGAGTAAATTGTGTCTATTCCTTCCGTAAATATCACACTGAGTAATGAGAACACCTACTCATTTGCATTCTTTTGGAGTGTCATATCCTGGTTTATTAATTGCTTTTGTTGAAAAACTCCTGAGTAGTTTGAGTACACAGTTTTTTGTATTATGTCTTTTTATTGTTCTGGTTTAGGTATTAATATTTGACTTTATTTTATTATTCTGTACCAGATTGGAAGATTTTTTGGAGAGATTGATCCAAGCTTGATGAGACACCTGGTTAATATATCAGTCTATGCTTTTAACAAATCCTACGATTATCAGTCAGTGTGTGAGCCTGGTGCTGCACCAAAACAAGGAGCAGGGCCTCGCTCGGCATATGTGGTCAGTAACACCCAAGTCACCCCCTTCTCTCCAGGAGACACTAGAGTAGATGAATGCAGTGACTTTTTTTATTGTATTTTCTAGCCATCAATAGCGGACATATTACACATTGGCTGGTGGGCTACTGCTGCTGCCTGGTAAGTCAATACTGTATTTTTATTGGTAATGAGATAAAGATGTCAAATAGTAAAGAATTTGGTGAAAATACTGATTTTGTGACATGTCAAAAATTATTGTGGGAGTTACTTAAATTTCCAATAGCACATATTGGCAACATATACTTATAAATAGTTCTTTCTATGTGATCAGTGTAAAGCTATTATAATTATTCAGTTTTTCGTAAGAAAACAATGTTATGCTCATGCAAGCCTTAGCATCTTCAGAAGCTTGTTTTTCCTGTGGGAATTTTGAAACTCTTCATTCGTGTTTCTTCCTTATATTATACTCATCCATAAATTTTAGGTGTATATATCTCTTCTTTCTGTTGCCTTCAATATCCAAATTAGATGCCTTCATTGATCAAATTCATGACATGACAACTTACCTTTCTATCTCTTTACTGTTCACGCGAAGGCTGGCTTAGTTTTAGAGGCATCATCTTGCTGAAATGGATCTAATTCTTTCTTTTTACTGAATCCATCCTCCTACCTCCTTCACCCCCTCACCTATGAATATGAGACATTTAAACTGCTTAGTGAGGCACTGTGGAAATTCTGGAAGATCAAATTTGTCATTGTTTGGTTCTGGTTAGTCAAGGAACTACAACTCCTGTTGTGTCCGGGATCCGTCCTCTCCCTTCTCCCTCCCGTCCTTCCCCCCAACACGGGGGGTGTTTCTTTTGTGTCTGTGCCCTACTGTATCGTCCAAGCCTTATCCCAAGTAGCTTAATCTCTAACATTCATTATATGTTGTGGTTTTCCCAGCTAATATGAAATGATTATAAAGTAAGAAAAATGTTAGGTTAAAGAAAACCTGTATTTCTGGAAAAATGTGAAAAATAGTGCTTTCTATTGTGAAAATGAGATTTATATACTAATATAATATATTTATATATTACTTTACATAGGTTTTTCTTAATCTTCTAATGATTCTGAAATGCTTGATTGCCTTTACCTTATTTTCTGGCCAGAATCTCTCTCCACTCACCACTGCCCCCCCCCCTTTTTTTTTATCATCACCAGAGGATATGTTTCCATTTATCTTCAAATAGAATGGGAGGGTGCGAGGGGCGGACGGAGGGAGGGAGAGAGAGAGAAGAAAATATTGACATTAGAGAGACATTTCGATTGGTTGCCTCCCACATGACCCTGCCCTTGACCAGAATCAAACCCGTGACTGGCCCACAGACCGGACGCTCTAACTGCTGAACCCGGCCAGGGCTGCCCCCCTCCTTTTTTCCCCACTAAACTCAGGTTCAGGTGACTCTATATTAATACTTGGCTCAATTTTCCTTTGTTATAAAATTGAAATGTGTCATATGCCATATATGACATGTATATTTATCTCATAAACGTCATATTATATATCTATAAATATATTGTATATTATAAATAGTTTATAAATGCATGGCATAAAATCATTTTTTAAGGGTTTTTCTTCCACTTCAGAGTGTTCAAAACTAAAAAAAAAAGTTTTGTTTTTTTTTTATCCTCACCCAAGGACATTTTTCCATTTTTTGTTCAGACAGTGGGAGGGAGGAAGGGAGGGGTGGGGGAAGAGAGAGAGAGAGAGAGAGAGAGAGAGAGAAAGAAACATCGATGTGAAAGGGACACATCGAGTGGCTGCCATCCGCACGACCCAACCAGGGCCGGGGACAAACTGCAACCGAAGTACATGCCCTTAGCGGGACCGAACCCGGGTCTCTCTGGACCGCAGGCCAATGCTCTAACTGCTGAGCCAAACCGGCCAGGGCAGGAATAACTTCTTACTGTGAAACCCATGCACTGAGATACTGACATTCTTTTGCTGGTTACCACTTCACAATCTCATTTCATAGTATGTCTCCTCACACATGTCCCTCATTTGGTTCTAAACACACCTAACTTCATGATTTTTTCAACAGAAAGTAATTTACAATATTTTGTATATTTTAAGAAATACTTATATAAAATGCTTCTAAACTTTTTATTAGCAAATCCTCAATTTTTCCCCAAAAGATGAAAACTAAATGTGTTTATGCATATATGCAAAATTCCACAGGTATTTATTATATACTTTGTAAAGGAAAATATGTAGATTTTTATCAATAATTGTTCATATTTAAAATTCAGGTCTATTCTACAGCAGTTTATCCTGAGTTTGACCTTCCCACGACTTCTTGAGGCCGGTATGTAAAAGCTCAGATATTATCATTGTCATAATAATTAAAATTTTCTTTTTTGATCTACTGAATTTAATGCTTAGTGAGAAAGAAAGTGTGTGTGTGTGTGTGTGTGTGTGTGTGTGAGAGAGAGAGAGAGAGAGAGAGATCATCCATTTGATACTTGTAGTTTGAAATCTTTTTTTCTCAAAACTCTCTTGTCTCTCATTGGCCTCTGTTTTGTAGCTGTTATATATTTGAATTCATTTATTCTATTGAAATTTATTGGGCACCTATTAGGGGCTACCACTGTATTACACAGCAGTAAACAAGCCACTCGCGGTGCCTGCCCTGGTGCAGTTGTGTTGCTCCGTGAGGAATGAAGGCTTTGGGGACTGCCTGCAGTGTCCCCTCATTATGGTCATCTTTGTCTCCCCACAGTTGAGATGGAAGATGATGACTTTACATCCCCTCTGTCGAAGCAGAGTTGCATTACTGAACAAACGCAGTATTTCTTTGAAAATGATAGTAAATCATTCAGTGGCGTATTAGACTGTGGAAACTGTTCCAGGTAATTTTTTCTTCATTTCTGGACCATTTCCATTTCACTAAGAAATTATAATCATTGCAGAATATAATGGAGATTGTTGTTTGAGTCTAAGAGATATGAGTAATTGCTTTAACATGAAAACATCGGAGATCTTCACTTTCTCTGTAGGTTTTTAAAATTCATAATTTTAAAAATTCTAACTTTGATAAGTTATCATCCCTTCAACTATAATATATGGTCAGGAAATCAGTAGTTACTGTATTTTTTGGTCTAAAAGGGTCCATATTAAAATTTTTCTAATATTGAGAAAGTTGCAGAATTATTCATTCTAATAAGATTCGGATTAATTACATCAGTAATTTGAAGCCAAATACATGATTCTTTTTTTTACATTTAGTTACTAAACAGGTTTACAAGAATATATTCAGGGGTGTGTGTTCTAATTCTAGTCTTCCCTGAAATTTAGCATTGAAGATATGTTTGATTTGAAACTGGAAGAGCTGGGAGAAAATGTTTCCTAAGGTCGAGGCTGATGTTAGTCATCAGTAAACATAAAACATCTTGAAACATTTTTGGAAGAGATGGAGAATTTAATTTGGTTGTAATGGGACAAAGGAGAAAGGGAGGTAGGGATTTTTTAAGTTTAAGAGGAGAGTGATCATCCATGTCACATGATCCCTGAGAACCGAGCAGAAAGGCTCAGGTTAGCACGCAAAGAGTTGGGGTACTTTGTTCTTAGCGACTGTAGGCTGGTTATTCTAGAAGAAACGTTAACAGAGAAGAGGAAATATGAGGAGATGAGGTAATCTGAGCACGTGAAAAGGCTGGGATTGTCCGTTGCTAGGATTCAGAAAAGAAGTTTATAACTATTAAAAATATTTTCAGGAATGGGTTAACTGAACCTAGCGTGAATTTTTAATAGACATGGTCAATATGACTTTATGACTCACTTTAGCTAAACTTTATGTCCTAGGAGGAGGTAGAGGATATGAAAAGGAGAAGCTAGGGTGGACAGTCAGGCATGAACTCAGCAAAAAGCAGACCATTTTGTTTGAGATTAGTATTTTAGACTGTCAGCTTCAAGAAACCACATTGTAGCATGTTTTATGGGTGCATCAGAAAGAATTTCAGAGTCTGCTGACCTTCCATTTCATTAACTGATGCCGAGTACTAGCAGTGCGTGCTTAAGAATTGACCGAATTAAATTGTAAAGATCAATATAACCAAGATATTAGGTTGAATCATGTTGTTTTTAATTCACTTTATTCACCCTAAGTTCAGTAAGGGGGGCAATAAAACCCACTTTGTTGAAAATATATAAACATAAAAACATTACTCTTTAACAACAAATCTACATTTTTATCTTGGTTGCTAAAGAAGCACCTTAAGATGTGGAAAGAAAAAACTTCATGGAATTTAAAGCTCTTGATTTTGTCTGTAACTGTTCAGCAGTTACCAGCCACGGTTGACTTTTTCAATTATCAATTACAGTGAATTCATATGAAAATTTCGTGCCCCAGTCACACTAGTCCCATCTCTGGTGCTCAATGCCTTATTGTCTTTCATACTAGATAAAGCAAAAAACATTTCCAGTGTTACAAAAGTTGGCTGAACAACACTGATCAAGTCTTTACTCTGCCACTAGCTTGGGCAAGATGCTTAGCTGTATTTGTAATCCTAGCTTTTTGTCTGTAAAATAAGGCAACTTTGGCATATTTCCAGTGATAAATACCACAAGTCCTTAAACGTGTTAAATAAAACATTTTTTCTATGAGTTTCAACAACAAAATAGTGCTCATTTTGCATTGAGGACTAACATTTTTAAGAAACACACAAAATATTTTTGCATTTGTTTAGTATATGTATTCGAGACAGGTAACATGTGCATGCTAATACATGAAACACAGTAATCTATCTTCTAAAATCACTCTTCTTCTGTTTCACTGTTTTTGTTGGTGATGCTTTGTGTTTCAAGATGAGATATTTTGTCTTTCATTTTAATATGCTAAGAATCTTTGAAAGATTTGTCTTTCTTTCCCAACAGATAATATTCTGTTATTTTTTAATATTTATTTCACAGAATCTTCCATGTAGAAAAACTTATGAATACCAATTTAGTATTCATAATGGTTGAAAGCAAAGGGACTTGTCCCTGTGACACACGGCTTCTCATACAAGCAGAACAGACTTGTATCCTTTGACATTGAAGGTGTTTGGAATGGAAAGCCATCTTAAAATAATGCATTTTTAACCTTCTCATGTTATTTATGCTCATAAAAAGAAAAATATTTTAGAGTGCTTACCTCACAGAAGCAGAATGGACCCCTCATACAAAATTTGGTATGGATGTCAAGACGCATGTAGCTGTACGTACACCAAAAGAATGTGAAAAGGCTCTTACTCACATGTGAGGCCTGGTGGACGGAACAGTGCAGGTTCCCATGAGATCTGAAAATGGCTTGCGAGAGCTGGAACTGGCTTGGGATTCTGTGGTGCTTAGGCAGCGGTGCTGGCTTCTTGCCTGTGCTGGCTGGGGCTTGTGTGGTTTGGACTCCCCAGGCAGTGCCAAAGAAGGGAGCACTCTGGCTTCCCTATCCGCCTGCCCAGGTGAGGGACAGAAGGAAAAGGGAAGGTTGTGGCTTGAAAGCTATCAATAGGCAGTCATCCAAATCAGAGCCGGATTTGATGTATGCATAAAATGGAATATTAGTCAGCCTTGAAAAAGAAGGAAATCCTGTTGTATGCTACAACCACAATGGCACTGACACTAAAGCTACTTCTGGTGGTAAACATGCAAAATGACATGTAGTGGCTATTAAAGCATTGCACACAGAACTTCTGTAGAGAGACTATATAAATTTTGCATTTAACCATGTTGTTTTTGAAAAAGAAAAAATAGTTCTCACCTATGTTTGGAACTGACATATATCATTAGAAATTGATTTAAGTTTCTGTTCACTTAATAGAATGCACCCAGGTTCTCCCTTGTGCTATCATTTGTGCATTTCATCCATTTGTATTCTACAAATATTTATTGAGTACTTGCTGTGTGCCAGGGACCGTATATGGTCAACATTTTAAAAGTTGATCTCTTCTAGTCTGGCAAGAAAAAATCAGTCGCAGTTTAATTTCTTAAATCCTGAAGTACTTGAACTGGTTGTGTTGGGCTAGAGTAATGGCATAGGTATCTCTTACTTGCTTTGGGAAATAAATATATTGCATTTTCTTTTTTTAATTGTGTGGGGAAAAAGTAATTTCGTATTCCTTAACAAGTTTCTTTAGCTGATGGTCCAGATCCTTGTGATATGGTTAAGCAACCCAGATACCGAAAAGGGCCTGAAGTCTGCTTTGATAACAATGACTTGGTAAGACCACATGTTTACTTTATTAAATACTTACCTTATTGGTTATTGTCCACAAGAATTTAAGGAGCCGTGGTATTTCTCATTAACATGATGTGCTTTCTGATAGATTTTTCATTTCGATATTTTTCATGGTTAGCTTAAGCTTAACAAGTTGCTTCTTCTATCAGTTCTTCCCACAGAAATTGTACTTTCAAACACAATTCCAATCAGTTTACTAATATAATCCATTGTTACAACTCTAATGATTTTAAAGACTTTCTAAAAAATAGTAACTGGCAGTAAATATTACTTATGGTATATGAGTTGCCTACCTTCATTTATATTCCAGTCTTGAAGACATAAAAATTATTTTTATTAGTTCAGGTTTAGTCCTCATTCGGGGTATTTAAAAACCTGTTCAACAGCTATTGTTCAGTTATTTTATAATTATACCTTTTTTTAATTCTGATTCTGATTCTATCACATATTAGATTTATATTACTTCTCTTAACTGTATTAATTCTTATATTGTTTGAAATTAGACCAGGTCAGTTATACAGGGTTAGATTTATATAATTCTTTTAATTGTATGAATTTATTTTTATATTTTTCTAAATTAGACTAGGTCAGTTACACAGGGTTGAGTTGATAAAATTTTACAAAGCATATTTAATATGTGATTTAAACACAGTGCTTATTTTCCTACAGGTTAGCTATCTTCCTCTGACTTTTTTCTGACTCACTATGTCTGTACTCAGCTTTATACTCTTAAAATTATCTTAGTTAAGAAAATTTATTCTCAAACAAAAAGGCCACAAAATGCCTGTCCACTTCAAAAAAACTTAATTTTAAATATAATAGTTCTCAATTCTCTGATTTTTTGCATTTAGTGGCTTGCGCTCACCAATAAGTTTGTAAACATAGAGTATTATTATCTTAGGAATTATTTATTCCAAAAACAGGCCCAGTCATTTACTGATTAATGTGCATTTATAGAGGTTGTTGTTTATTTATTTAGAATAGATTTGCCTACTATGTACTTATTTACTCCTGTATACATGGCCATATTTGAACCAGAAAGAATAATGCATCTCCATAGATACCTTTTATACAATTAGATAATATAAATTATAATTGGAGCAAAGAAGAAAGAAAATCAGTGATGGAAAATACGGCTAAAAAAGCAAGATGTTTTAGCAATAAGTCTCATTTATCTCTGTGAGGAATACTGGCCATGGTCTTTGATGAGAAAGGGATTCAAAGCTGCTGCTCAGTGATCTTTTCATTTTACCCAGTTACACTCAAATGAAATTCAGATATGAGGACTTCCGTTGTTTTGTCTACTATACCTTCAGGAGCTTTGCCCATGTCAAATCATTCCCCAAAGAGTGTTAAATGTGGGCCCAAGATAGTAAGTGCTCAGCAGGGAGACCACTTATCAGATATTTGCCAGCAAAGACTGAGGTTAAATTCATTCAGATGAACTTTAAAAATTGTATAAAAACCCTGTTGCTCAAAAATACTTTCACCCTATCAAACTCTATACTTTGATCAAATCATTAAAAAGGTTTAAGACAAAAATTTTTAATAATTCAAGTTTCAATAAATTCTACAGTGGATTGTGGGTGAAAGTACAACTCTTGCTCCGTAGCTTAATGTACAACTCTTGCTCAGTAGACATTAATGTGCTAATAATGTCTGGTGTGTCTTTAGCAGTGGAATATTTTGGTAACGCTTATGCTTATTTGCAATGGTCACTGTGACTCTGCTCTGGCTGGAGGCTCACATAAACTGCTCACTGCCAGCAACCTGCATGAAATCTCATCTTGTGTGTCTTCTTTTCTGTGTTTTCTTTCCTTTTCCTGTACTTGCTATTTTGCCTGTTATTAATAGGATCAACTTATATGCACAACGAGTCGTGCCTGTACCATGATGTCAGCTCCTATCTTCATTTTACTGCAAGTGTTCATGTGGTGTGGATGGTCAGTCACTTTCTCTAATTTTTCTTTGTTTTTGTGTTTGGCTCAAAATTAAAAAAAATAATAATAATCCATATCCCTAAATGCACTGTAACTGTCCTGAAATCAGATTATTAAAATCCCACTACTAATGTTTTGTAAATAGCTCATTTCAAATGTTGCATAAATTTCTAATCTTAAACAGAACATAACAGCCTTTATTTATTTAAAAATCAGTATTTCCTGCCCTGGCCGGTTTGGCTCAGTGGTTAAAGCGTCGGCCTGCGGTCCGGAGACACCCGGGTTCGGTTCCCGCTAAGGGCATGTACCTCGGTTGCAGTTTGTCCCCGGCCCTGGTTGGTCATGCGGGTGGCAGCCACTCGCTGTGTCCCTTTCACATCGATGTTTCTCTCTCTCTCTCTCCCTCCTGCTCTTTCTGAACAAAGAATGTAAAAGTGTCCTCGGGTGAGGATAAAATAATAATAATAATAATAATAAAAATCAGTATTTCCTGGTAGGGTTTTTTAAAAACATTAAGTCAATGTGGAAATAAATTTATACATGCTTCATGATGTCTGAATTTTACTAAAGAGAAATATCTTGACAATTATTAGAACTGGTCATCTCAATTTATGTTCAAAAGATGCTAACAAAATTAATGAACCATTTACATTTTATCAATCATTACTTAATATTTCTGTCATCCTAACTTTTTTCTTTTTAAACAAATATAGTTGAAACAAATTTTAAGATTTTTACTACCAAAATATTGATGCTCTTAGTGAAATAATTTAGTACAAGTGCTTCCAATCCCTGAGTTTATTTTACTTAATATCACTTATATTATCCAGGGCAAAATTAGCATTAGATTTGTTTCTCATTTACCTGAATTATATAGTCGATATGGCTAAGTAGATGTTTTAGGACCTGAGTTTGTGTTCAGGGTTCCATTTATAGTTTTGCAGTTTCTTTTCTGATGCTCTCGATTCACCATGATAATTGTGACTAGAGCAACTTTGATTTTGTTTTTTCTTCATTGTTGTCCAGGTAGTCATTGATTAGGAAACCACTAGATGGAGATGTGGACATTACTGTGAATGGACTGAGCTTATAAGTGGGGTGGCAGAGGGATATTCCAAACACAACTGCATTTGTCCTAGGATAATAACATCATGGTTTCCCAGCAAAAAATTCTAAGTGAAGGAAACCTCTCTGGTTTAAATACTAAAAAAATTCCAAAATTAAATGATCTCTCTGTATGAACATATTTTTAAATTGATATCTAGGTACCTATTTGAAATAGCATTGATTCCTTAAAAAGATTACATACATAGGTAATCATACCATTTACATATTAAAAGTGTTGTAACCCCCTCGACTTCCTTCCTGTAGGGAAAAAAAAGTGTTGTAAAATTACATTTTCTACACTTGTCCCTATTTGTAATCATAATAGGAATGAGCAAACTAAAGCTTAAGAATAAAAATGTATTACATTAATTTTATAGGTGAAAATAGTGTAAAAATTTACTATGTTTTCAAAAGTTGACTTCTCTCACAGAACTTTTTAGATAAGATGTATAGGCTACCAATTAGATGCAGATATGCCTGTCAACTTCATTTTGAATAGGTCACTTCCCATTTTACCTTGAACCTTAAAATCTATAGGTAACACCCTGGCCGGTGTGGTCAGTTGGTTGGAGCATTGTCCCATACACTGGAAGGTCACAGGTTCCATTCCTGGTCAGGGCGCAAATGTAGGTTGCAGGTTCCATCCCCATTCGGGGTATATATAGGAAGCAGCCGATTGATATCTCTCTCATGTCATTGTTTCTCTCCCTTTCTCTCTCTCTCAATCCCTTCTACCTCTCTAAAATCAATTAAAAAGAAATCTATTGATAACAATGGATTAATATTTTTTACCTAACACTTCCCCAAAATATAATTTTAAATTTTCTTATGATGATTTTTTTCCACCATAACTATACATTGTTCAATAAATTAAATATCACCATAGACCCAAGTGGTTGGGATCAATACATTTGAATGAAATATTTTTTAAAAAATGAAAACAGCACATCTGGTGTTCCATGATATTATTGTATCATTGATTATTATTGTATCCTTGAGAAGATGATGTAGATGACATATACTTTCCATTAACAAGACCTGTGGTAGGAATTTTAAAAACACAGTCATGAATGTGGAACAGTGAATCTAGTCTCTGCAATTTGAGTGTTGTTATGATGATATCTAAAACAATAGAAAGATGATAAAAATAAAATATTACCAAAAATTGAAAGAAACACTGATTGATTATTTGGTAGTTTCCTCCCACATTTAGGACTAATAAAGGATACAGTCGAAGCTTTAGTGTTAGTCTGAATATAACTAGGAATTTGTGTGTATTAGATTCTGCTCACAGGAAACCTGGGATGATGGTGTCATCTTCTAAAGGGTGACATCTCTCTAAGCATTTAAAAAGTGACTCCACCTAAAGCTAGGATTCTTATACCCTGTGGAGTCCAAAAAAGATATACATTATAGGTATCTAATTATGAAATCCATACCCTGAGGATTTGATTAAAACATGAATGTTCAAATGAGATCTTTTGTAAGAGCTTTTGGAAGACTGAAGTGGTAAAGAACAAAAGAAAAACAAAGAAATAAAGCTGAAGTTTGTTTATTGAAGAAGAAATTAAAGCAAGCCAACCATATGTGCATTGAGGAAGTTCATTATTTTATGCAGACTTAGTTTGTAAAAACACATTATTGAGTATATGAAAATGATTATGCAGAAATAAATGTGTGTGTGTTTGTGTATGTACATACACACATATATTTAAATAGCTGAACAAAGATACTACCTACTTCATAAGTTAACATGGTATGTTAAGGGGCTGTGTAGGAGAACAGATTATTTCTTAGGGAATTTTATAGATTTTTCTTTGAAGCTGCTATGATTGACTTAAGTACAGACCTATCTATTCAAAAGTTAGCCATTTTTTGGTGGATGTCTTCACCTGTGATTTGCCTTTTGAAAGAAATTTAACGATGCCTATAATT